CTGACGGAGCCCCCGTACGGAATCACATGCTGCGCGCGTCGACGTCGACTAATACCTATTACAGCACACACGACCACCACCACCACATGCTCCTCCTGCTGCTGCGACTGTATGTATGCACGTACGCCCACTCTCGCTTTTCCATCGATACCACCACCACCACCACCACCACCACCCGCCCCCACACACACAACCACGAGATCGCGCCCATGGGTGGTACTTGGGAGCTGCATGGGCCCAGACGACAGCCGACATGGCCGGCCGGGCCGTGGGACAGCAGGTAGGCTATCTAGGTTCACTGGCCTGCCAGGCCTGGACCTGTTAGTGGCACTGAAGCTGCTCGCCACCGTGACGTGCCTCCGGAACCCGGGCCCACGAGATGCCCAACTCTCCGCGACGGCGCGGGTGCGGCGGGAGGGCGAGAATCCGGGGAAGCCAGACGGACGGCACACGCCCCCCGCGGTCATGCTGGCGTTGCAGCTCTTCGGTCGTGCAGGCACATGCATCGGCCGATGCCCAATGGGGGTCCTGGCGCGGGCTGAAGGCGTCAATAAGCGGCCCGTCTGCAACGTCGGGGGTCCTGGCTCCTCTCTGCCTTCACTTCACTTTCCCTTCATGTTGCACATGCATCCGACGCACGCCACTGGCGACGCACTCGCCGTCGCCGACGTCTCTTGCGGCTATGGCAGCTCCTCCCGTCTGCCGTCATGTTGCATTCAGCTGTAATCTCGCGCGCCAACGTATCGCATCGCATCGCATCGCATCGCATCGCTCGCTCAGCCGTCACGGAACGCGCCATCGAGACATGGGAAACGTGGAAACCTGTTATATTTGCCCGGTCGGCCACGCCGTCCGCGCCGGAAACCCAGAACCCTCCAAGCGGGCATTTCCGTCTCTCTAGATTTTGCTCCCTGCGCCGTTTGTCAAAAAAACGTGGACACCCGAAAAAGGAAGACCGACACCGAGGCCGCGCAGACAAGGCAAGGCAAAAACAAAAAAGCGCAATAAAAGCCGCACTGCAGCATGGCTCAACCCGCCGCAGCCCGACGATGCTCTGAAACACACGCGGCCGTCCGCCGCCGATGACGGGGTCCAAAATGTTCTCCCCTTTCCAATTAGGCCTCCTCGGTAATACCATCTCCCGCCAAACGCAGACAGACAGGCGTACACAAACGGTGCGTCGCAGGAGCGCTATTGAGGCTTACTTTTGCTGCCCTCGTAGTAGTGCGCCATCTGCAGGCCGGCCCTGCGGAAGCCGCACTTGATGTAGAAGCCCTCGTTGGCGTCGCTGCAGTCGAGGATGCTCTTGTAGCAGCCGATGCGCTCGGCGACGAAGTCGAGGGCCTGGATGAGGCGCAGCCCGAGCTTCTTGCCCTGCTGGCTCTTGGACACGGCAATGTCTTCGATGTGGCCGACGGCGCCGAGGTTGTGGATGCTACAAGCCGAGGGGTCAGCACGGGAATCGTTTGAGGAAGCCAGTGGCTCGTCGAGCATACGGGGAGAGAAACAAATGACGGGGGATGACAACGGGGCACGCACAACTTGCGCTCGACTATCAGGGCGCCTGTAGCGACGACGGCGCCGGCATCGTCCTCGATGACGATGATGTAGTAGCCCTCCTGCTTGACCATGCGCTCGTATTGGGCCTCAAACTCGTCCTTGGCGATGTCGCCGACCGTGGTCAGGACGCGCAGGCAGTCGAGGAAACCGGTATCGTAGTCGGAGCGGCGCAGGGGCCGCAGCTTGTAACCCTCGGGCAGCGCAGCCGAGACGTCGGGGGAGACGAGGTACGAGGGGAAGAGGCCCTCGTCGGCGGCCATGGCGGAAAAGGACGAGGCGCCGGGGATAATGAGGCTAGGCATTGGATGGAGGCGGTCGGAATTGCGTCGTGGTGGTGGTGATGGCGATGGCGATGATTGCAGTGGAGGAGTGGAGGGGGGTTCGTGGAGGTGGCAATTGAGAGCTGCGATTTGCAGACGGTCGCTGTTGCTAGACGGCGAAGCTGGTGTCGGTGACGAGCTTGCTGGCGGTGATGGAAGATGGGGATGAACGAGAGACGAATGGCGATGGGAGCTGAAGCTGAAGTTGGGAGAGGAGCTGGAGGGGAGGAGGAGGAGGAAGAGGCGCAAGACAGCCGCAATCAATACGGCGAAACAGCTGGAAGGGCTGACCTCACCACCGCTTTGTCGATTGATGGGATGGGCTGGATGGGTTGGATGGATGGAACCCACCGCATCGGGTCCTGGCGTCGTTTCCAGGGGCGCAGGACGACGAAGGACGCCCACGCTACAACCAGCACGGGCGACAACGGAGCACCCTAGCAGGGCCGGCAGCACCCACAGCGCCTCACCTCGCCTCGCCTCTCACAGCCATAGAGGCTCGCCAGGGGGGGCAGCCAAGCAGGTTGGCAGGCACCGAAGCTACTGCCCAAGGGGCCCCACTGGCATTCGAGCCGCTTCAGGGGTCGCAATGGCCCGTGTGAGCGGCTTCCCCAGGCGGGCTCGTACCTGGAATCGGCGGTGAATTTTCACCTGCAGCGGCACTCTGTCGACCGATCTCTCCCGTCCAGTCCCGTCTGCCGCGGCGACCGATTCCCGCATGCGTCCGGCCGGCCCAGCTCAGTCCAGTATGCGCTGCAGGCGTGTGCTCACCCTCTGTGCTCACCACGGGCCGGCAGTGAGACACCGAGACAATGGGCCTGCCAGCTCAGTCAGGCATCTTCTGGCTGGCAACTCGAAGCCCGGCCAGTAGCGCTTCCCACAGCGGCCACGCCGTGCCTGTTGTTGGGTTGAAAGACCTGGCCTGGCCTGGAGGGCTGGCATGGGCATTTCCGGGGGGGGTCCGCAGTGGCTGTGGCTGATGACTGCTGTGGATGATGTGAGGCGAGGGAGGCTGAGGCCGTCGGCCGGCCCTCGTGTTTATTCTTGGAAAACCGGGTCCCGGCATCGACGCCGTTGGAGCCACCCACCCATCCCCATCCATCCCCCCTGAACGGGCAGCTCCGCGCGCGCCGCTGATGATGGTGAAGCTGCCTCCCCATGTTATTCACTTGTTCAATTTTTGTCCCCGTATTCGCTGTTCCAGCATTGACTCGAGCTCGCTCGCATTGTGCCGAGTGGGTTTTGGTGTGTCCAAGTCACAGACTGCGCTACTAGTTGACAACAGCTGTCTGAGACACATGGCCGAGTCCAAATCGGCAATACCGTCGTCGCCCGCAAACGGCCTCTCATGCTTCGGAAAAGTGTGCCAACCCACCACATTGACGGAACTCAGCATTCAATTTTATCACACAAACCCGCACTCGCAGCCCTGCATGGCATCCAAGGACATGGAGGACTAATATGTACCACCGACACCGCGTCCTTCGTCATCAGCCATTCCCGGCACATCCATACTCGTCCCAATTCCCGTCCTCAGGATGGTCCTTGTGCTCATGGGCGGCCCCCCTCCCCCTTCTCCCCTCCCTTCTGCACCGCTCCGCCCCTAGAGGGTGTTGAAGTGCCGGCCGGCGGCCCATATCGGCGTCCGGAACTCCGCCCGCCACTCCCGCCCGACTGCCCCTACACTTGCAGGAAGCAGGCTCGTCGCAGGCAATGTCACGCAAGGTCTTGTACAGTTTATTCCCCGCGCTTGAACAAGCATTGGTTCCATGACCGATGATTAACTGATGCACTTGAGTAGGAGACAAGTTGTGACTTTTGTTCGCACCTCTCGCCATTATGACCACCGTTAGGCCTAAAGCAGCGATGAACCACACTGTTTGAACTGGTTCAATTTTCATGTTGGTCTACGCCAACCAAACGCAGCCAAATTCTAGGCCAGGGATCATATAAATAATGGGCAACCAACTTCCCGAAACATCCTCCACGGTGGCCTACGCGTGATTGGGGCGTCATATGTATCATTGAGCACACAGGGCGATTGATCAGAGTTCGAGGGGCATATGTCGATGGTGGCCGTTTTGGACGGGGGTTTGCAGATACCTCTCGTCGCAGTCTCACTGCGTTGGGCCAATCTGAGTTGGCAGTTTTCCATCACCATTTGGCCAGACCACCGCTCACAAAAAGTGTTGGTCGGCAGCGATCCCCCTCTTTGGTGAATGCGGGCAACCTCTTGTTCGACACCAGTTGCAAGCAGGTAAACCTGGGTAACCGAAAGCGCCATCTGACCTTGAAATACCTTACTTGATCCGCCCCCATTTCTTCCTTCAATTGCTCTCGGCCCCGTGGTCCCCAGTCACCCACTTGACTACTTGCGTCACGATCAAGATCCTCAAAGGAACAGTCATGGCGGGCGGTGTCCCCTCCAGAATCTTTGTTACACTCGCTGCTGTGCTGGGAATAGCTAGCGCTGCCGCACCAAGCTGCAACGCATGGCACATCGCAAAGAGGGGTGAACCCTGCCGGAGCATCGCCGACACGTACGGCCTTACCGTGGCTCAGGTTCTACGATTCAACCCCACCGCCTCTAGTGACTGCGCCGAGAATGCCTTGATAGATTCCGCATTCTGCGTTGGAGTCGAGCACACGCTCAGTCCCCCCTCGCTCTTTACTTCAAGCTTGGAAATCTCTGCCGCCGCAAGGTTGAAAGGTGCTGCGAACTCGGTCTGGAGCGCAATCATGAACAGCTGGGTCCTCTCTTGGGTTCCAACACTGCGGCCAACGGTCGACACAAGCTTCACGCCCACACCATCACACGGCCCCATGCCGAGCAATTGTGTAAACTATTACAGAATCAGGCTGGTAACATTCCCGACAGATCTACTCCTTCCACACAGGTTGCTAACACGAATGGCTTTGGCTGATAGGACACCACTTGTGAGGACATTCTGTCCAACCATCCAGAGATAACTCGGGATCAGTTCTTCGAGTGGAACCCCATTCTCGCGGGAGATTGCCACGCTGTCTGGGCCGGCTACTACTACTGTGTCGGTGCTTACGCGCCTGGTCAGCGACCAGATCTCCCGGCAGTCAGGGAGCGGCCCGCAGATGCCCCTTCAGACTCGACTGCCGACTGCGTTTCGTGGTACAAGACCACGTATGGCGACACATGTGCCGACTTGACTCTCATATTTGGAAGACTCTCGGAGGCGGACTTTATATCTTGGAATCCCTCGGTCGGGAGTGACTGCAAGCGAATCACAGTAAGATATTGAACGTGTGACGCTTAAAACACAATGCGAATTTGCGACTGCTGACAAGACGTGGGTAAATAGGAAAAGAACTGGTATTGTGTAGCCGTTCCGGGCACACCGACAACAAGAACAGCGCCTATACCTTCTTGGGATGCTATTGTACAAGCTGCCACCTCATCTACACCCCCGGCGCGCACAGCAACCAGTACTTAAGGCTCCACCAGCCCATCTCGGCTCACGGTAACATGAATGGAGGGCCCTATTACCACCAGACGCCACTCTTTCCTCACGTGAGTTGTCTGGGCCCTATACCTTAGATTCTCAGATCTTTGACCATTACATCCTAGGGAGCATTAACCTCTGGCTGTTAAAAGCTGCGTTTTATAAAGCGTGGCGGAACCGGGGACGTTGTACAGTGCTCAACTCTATCCGGATGTAAAGGAGCCTTGATTCTCTATCTCTAAATTTGGGGCTGTGCCCCTTATATATATTAATATATCGGTTCGTCTATAAGGGCTATATAACGCTGTAAGGCACCCATTATAGGAGATATATAATCCTTACACAAGTCTCACTCAGCACGGCTCGGCTCTCGGTGCAGACGCGATTGCCGGAGTAAAGCAGGTAGCGATTGACAGCTGTCGAAAAGCGGGGATCCTGCGTTGCATCGCCGCGGTGCCATGAAGAACCGGCCGGGGCGATGCGTAGTGCCGCTTCGTCGCTGCGCACTGCACTCGCCCAACGAGACACCACGTCACCACCGCGGGCGCATTGTTAGCAGCGCGAAGCCACTGGCCCTGCGGTCTGGTCGGTCACCTCCGCCGGCATGCCATCTGCATATGGCCGGCCACTCCCGCTATCTAGATTATTTCCCAGCCAGAGTCGTGAACCAGGCCGCCCCCATCTTTGCGGGTACGTACCACCCGAAGCCTAGACCGCATCGCCCTCTTCTACTTGTCCCGGGAGCAAAGTCCACACCATGGACCTCGCCGTGACGCTCATCAAGTCCGTCATGCGGGCGTTCTATCCGACGCGCGACATCCTACTCGTCGACGCCTTGGTACTTCACGAAGCGTACGTCCAGCTCCGCCTGCCACTCTGTGGCGTCATCGTCTGTTAAGGAAGCGTCGTCCTCTAACAAACATCTCGGGCAGCCTTCGTGACGACCACCTCGCCTATCTCATGGCCATCAATACCAAGGACCTACATGAAATCTGCGGCAAACTGAGCGAAGACCGTTTCTTGGCCATGTGAGTCTTCCATGCTCAGCTGGTCTCGTGATGGTTGCGTACGAGAGCATGCGCCAGGCTGGCCGGCATCTCGTGCTGACTCGGTTCTCTCTACTACAAGGCACACGAGGCAGGAATTGCGTGAAGGGAATCTCCGGCCTAGTAATCGCACGTGGTACTACATCAATTATCGCCACACCATTGATGCTATCAAGTGGCGAGTCTACAGCATCGACAGGGAGGTGCAGGGAAGCACTGTTGCGGCTAATGAGAAGAAAGAGTATATCTGCACGTTTTGCAAGGCCGAGTGGACGACCATGGAAGTTCTCGACAACTTTAGCCCTAACGGCTTTCTGTGCCACCGTTGTTATCACACATTGACATCTGAGGCAGACCGGAATTCCGGAGGACACGAGCAATCGTCGCGTCTACACCACCAGTTCAAGTTCATCAGCGAGCTTCTCCCCAAGATTGACGCCGTCTACATCCCGGAGTGCGACTTCGATCGGGCGCTCTCGAAGGCCCGGCCGGTTATTCGCGATGCCACGCACCAGCGCGCCGCAACGGTGCCCGTCGAGGGAGGCGGGAACCAGCCCACAGCTGTCAAAGGCCTGGCCAACACAGGACCACAGTCCATCACCGTCAACATATTGACGTCGGACGGGCCCTCCGAGGCGGACAAGGCGGCGGAGAAGGCTCTCAAGGAGAAGATTGCCGAACGGAACGCACTGCCGGCGTGGATGTCCAACAGCACAGTGACCGGCGAATCTTTCTCGGGAGCGGCCGCCACCGACGAGGTCTCCACGGTCAAAAGTGAAGCGATCAAACATGTTGCTAAGGGCATGTTACAGGATGACAACGCTAGCGCACAGATTGATGGCATCTGTGAGAAGCTAAAGGCAGAGCAAACTGCGGAGAGAGCACGGGAGGCGGGGAAGAAAGATGGCGGAGATGATGACGACGAGGATGACGATGAGTTTGGTTCGGACGAGGAAGACGAGTTCGAGGACGTGCCAGCAACGGCCACTAGCTCGGGCTAGGGGACATTCGGCGAGCGAGCTATGATACATGGAGGAATCGCTCCGAGCATGTCCGAGCGTCCTCAAATCGATAGCAGGAGACTCTAAGCGCAGCGATGACTCTAGAGGGCTGCATTCATCTCTCACCACGGCAGGGTCGATTGCGGCCGAATGAGTGAGAGGAAACCCGATCCTGGTTCTAAATGACGTTCAGCGACCTGGGATCTTTCTCGCTGATCCCCACCCACCTTCTTGGTTCCCATTCAGGAAGGCTCGTACTGTATCTTTCAGGGAGTTTGATAGGCAGGCTTGGAATGGTGATCCCGCATGTTGACACTACATGATGACCGTCCTGTACATAGTGACATTGCATGTTTACGATGGGACTAAGAGTGTGTGCGCGCGCAGGGTATAAATACAATGACGCTTGCTGAAGTTGAGACGAGACGCTACAAGAGCAAAATCATACAAGAGCTCAATACATCAGACAATCCGCTGGTCTACCTTTCTCATTTCCAAAACCGACTACCACCTCGTACAGGAATGCGCCGATGATGACCCAACGAGACAGAATCGGCAGTTCCGTACGGAACTATGAAAGTATTGTATCGCAATATGATCCGCCTTCATGTGATTTGATACTCGACACACTGGGATTGCATCGACTTGGTTGCTAACATGATTCCAATACCGTATGAACACTGCATGTGCCGTCATGTTCCAAAACGACAAACATTGCCCCAGAATATCTCTCCAGTGAAAAAGTCCCAGCCCGGATTCCCGATCTGGTCCCCACACTTGAGCCATAGCCCCTTCCCCGGCCGGCCACGGTCCTCAGTCTCGTCCGTGAATGGGTACCATAACTGCGATCCTTGCGACCCCCAAGTATTCTCCATGTATATCTCTTCTTCGGTTCGCAATTCCAAGCGCGTTTCTCTAGAAGTAAGGGCTAGCCATGCTCCGTCTGGCAGCGCTACCCAAGTTTTTGCTATATTTGGCAGTCTCGAACTCATATTGACGAGAGGGTCAAAGAATTCGGCCTTCATTTCATCAGTTATGAGCTTCGGCCAGATTGTTCGTAAGTAAAACTCTCCGGTGAACAGCAAAGTCACTTGGCGCAGGTGCGGGAAGGCTCGCGGCAGGAGCTCAAGCTTCTGTCTAAACCGCGCCCGGTCCCGTATCTGCACGTCGATGCTTCTCTCTTCATTGAAGAGTTGCAATTCCCACGTCATCCTCAAATCACTGACAAGGTGTATGGCCGAGCTCAGTAGACGTGGGGAGCCTGGGATGGTGCTCTGACGTAGCAAGCCATCCACCAGGAACTGGCTTTCCACTATTATGCAGTTCCTACTGTATAGAACCTGGAGTCCCTCGTGATACCTAGCCGTAGCAATGTCAGCTGTGCGCTCCGGTATGAAACAGGCCCAGGTTGACCCTTACGCCTGCTTGCATGACAACAAAAAGCCCATTGCTCCGATAAAGCACCTGTTGGGGATGGGTAATATGTCGACCCAAGCATTGCACATGGCTTGCCCCCAAAGGCACCCATCATAAAGGATTCCTTGCGGAGACTCGACACGCGGATTTAGTCGATGGCAGCGGCACCCGTGCCACCTCCAAGCTTTGCAAGTACCGCGCGGCTTTCCATTGTGTGTATATAAGAGCGGAGGGTAACCACCATGCACGGGAATTTGATTTGGCTTGCCGGCGGTTTCGGCAGTATAGCGCGGAAGATCGAAGCGGAGATCCATGTGCATGTCGCAATTGCCAAAGGCTTTGAGAAGAACGGCCAGGCGTATCTCGCCGGGCAGATTGAAGAATGCAGATCCGGCTTGGGCCGTTGCCGAACCCTTGTCGATCGGGGTTGAGTCCTCAAAGAAAGGAAGCGGCGGGTCTCCCGGAGCCGCCACCTCGCGTCCCACGGCTCTGCGAACCCATTTGCGTACTCGGTTCATGATGCAACCAGTCGAGTGGGTGGCCACGGAGACAAAAGTCGACTGAGCAGGAAGCTAAAGGCGACATAGACGCATCGGTGAATCAATTTGAAAGTGGGAAGATTAGGCGTTCTTGTATTCTTTCAAGCGGCCATATCTCCAACGGACGCAGTTGCGTGCAGCGCGCCCGCAGTGCCAGCCAACGTCCGACGGGACGCGCGCTCCATGTGACTTGTCCTGCCCCTGGGTGTGTGAGCGCTCTGATCCCATTTGCCTGACCAGTCTTCTCCGCGTTTGCTACATGTCCTGCGACTCCTCTATTCGCCCCGCGTTTATTACAGGTAATATCGTTAAACATGTCTCTGCAAGGCTGGGCTACGGGTCACAGCAGGACTGACGCGAGTGTTGGACTTTGCACAGATGTTTGGTGCCTTACTTCGGTACCACTACCAACTGTCAATAATTTTGGGGGTCCAATCGGCAAAGAGAGCGTGAGCCGATTCCACAGTTCGAGCAGCACGACATCTGATGGTGAAGTTGCAAACCTGCCGCCTCGAGCTGTACGTAGAGTGGTAAATGCTGGTGGTGGACCATGGACGGAACGTCATCAGTGATCACTACAGGTGGGCGAGACTAATTTTAGCTTGCCCTCATCAGGCATTCCTTAACTGGCACGTCTTGTGTGGGCTACGTATTGTCCAGGCCCGCCTTCAGCTGCCGAAAAGCTTGCCTCCCTGGATGTTGCCACGCGAGCCGGCGGTGGTCGTATGACTCGAGAGTCGAGAGCTACCGACTCTCCCACCGACGCGCGCAACACGCAGAAGCCAGGCGACGACGCGGCCAATGACAGCCGGGCCCATTGTCCAAGACGGCATTTCCAGTTGGCCCCTCCGCTCCGTGGCCGCCCGTTGCGATGGTCCACAGTTCCCCACACATCCCGAAACAAACGGGTCCCCAGGGGCGGCACAGGCACAAGACAAGCTCAATGTCCGCCACACAAAGACAGAACAGGGAGCGGACAGAGCAGGAGAGAGACACAATCACATGCAAAGACGCCACCCACCCACCGCACAGCAGCAGCACAAGCACCAGCAAGCACCAGCAGCAGCTCCACCGCCCAGCCAATACCCTCCGCGCCGGAGCATGTGCCGTCCCGAATTTGTTGACCCTCAACGCGCGGGCGCGCGCTGTACAACGACTGGGTGGTGACTGGTGACATCAACCCTCGCCCGTTGCTGGGAACTCTCCCTACCCAAATATTGCCGTATTCGTTCACACAACTGCTGCAATCTGCACACTCCTTCCCCCTCTTTTGTTCGCGCCTGTGCAGAAGGAGCTGCATGCAAGAAGAAAAGGGGATTGCTTCCCGCTGCCCAACGAACTGACTGCATGCGCCGCCTCGCGACGACGGCCATGTACACGCGAGACCCGCCATCGTCATCGTCAACATCAGCAGCGTCCCCAACAACGCCACTACCAACAACAACATCAGCATCGTCATCTTTCCACGTTCGACCGCGTCGATTACCTGCCACTCTGCGCGCAGCAGCCGGCGCGCCTCCACCGCCGCCGACATGGCTGCCGGAGACCGCGACAGAGACCGAGGCAGAAGCAGAGACAAGGACATCGAGGCGGCCATGACCTCGCATCACCCCTACCCGGGCCCGACGCTGCTGCCCTCGCCCGTCGCCCACGCCGTCACGCTCGCCGCGCGCTCCACCAGCCTCGCCATCCGCCTCTCCTCCCTCGTCGGCGCCTACTCCCTCGACGCCGCGCGCCTCACCACGCTGTCCAGCCTCGAGCTGGCCCGCGGCATGGTCGAGGGCGTGCTCGCCCGGGCCGCCGGGGACGTCGGCTCCGGCTCCGGCTCCGGCGGCCAGGCCCCGACGTCTTCTTCGCGCCTCGCCGCCGCCGAGGCCGAGTCCCTCCTCGAGCGCAGCCTCGACGGCCTGCACCGCGCCGTCGCCACCGCCGTGTTCTGGACCTCGGCCGGGTTCCGCCTCACGGGCACGACCCTCGCTGCCGCGAGCGGCGCCTCGCAGGTGCTCCTGTCGTCGCTCGACCAGATCTTTGGCTCCACCGACTCGTCGCGTGCCGTCGCCGGCGTCATCGCCCTCGCCCGCCGCGAGTTCAACAACCCGGCCACGGGCGCCTCGGGCGAAAAGGTCGGCGTCATGGATCTGGTGCTGGCGCTCGCTGCGTTGGCGTACCTGCAGCGCGCGTGTCGGCGGCTGCCGGCCGAGGAGCAGCGGAGGAGTGCCTGCGAGGAGATTATCTGGGATGTCGTCGTGCTCAATGATGGTGAGCGTGTCGACGTCCAGCAGCAGGATGAAAGGATCGTGGAGCTGTCCGGCCAAAGGGCGGTGACTGGCGGGGATGGCTCCAATGCCCGAAGCGACATGCAAGACGACGAGGCTGTCCTCTCGCGACTCAAGAACCACATCGTCTCCTCCCTTGCCCCGGGGACAACCGTCTCCATCTCCAGCTCTGTGTCGTCCGTGCAAACCATCACCGTCGACGTCGAGGGCTCAAACCTGCCGTCTCTGCCGACACCACCGGGGGCGGAGATCGTTGAGACGCGAGGCCCGTCGTCTCATGGCCTTGTGCCGGACGCAGCGAACCATCGCCCCTGGACACCGCACGGTCATCGCCGTCAAGACTCCTACCGCGTCGTGTACCGCATCGAACGGGACAGGTTTCGCTCGACGTCGCTCCACGGAGAGGAGGACGAGGAGTCTGGCCGGGCAGTCGTCGAGGTGACAGGGGACAACGAGGCGAGCAGCCACCCATCCACCGACCGCAACGCTGGGTTCTATAGTCTTGAGCACAAGCCGAGCCACTCGTCGCCGGCGTCGCTGTCGACCTTGGTCACCACGGATAGCCCGGTCCCCGACAGTGACCCAGACTCGGTTGCCTCGACGCCAGGCATTGTCGAGGCGTCCACCAATGTCAACACCAGCATCAACCACACCAACTCTCGACACACATCACAGCCGACTCAGTCAGTCTCCTATCACGAAACCGCCGCAAACCAAAAGAAGCAGCGGTCTCCCCTCACGCCGCCCGCTTCTTCATCCCGCGCCAACGTCGACAAGGCCCGCCCAGCCCTCGACATGGGCAAGCGCTCGCTGTCCAAGAAAAAGGGCGAGTCGGTCACTGCGCACAAAGGCTCCGACAAGAAGACGGGCTTCAAGCAGGTCCTCAAGGGGTCCAGCCAGTCCCTGACCAACATGTGGAACAAGGAGTCTCCGTCCCTCGACGCAACCCGCCCTTCCAAGACGAAGCCGCAATGGAAAGGGGCGGGCGGCGGCGAGTCGATACACAGCACAAAGCCTAAGCCCGCATTGACGTCGCGGGCCCAGACGCAGCATTCACAACGCGACGCCCCGAAGCGGAACCTGCAAACTCCCGAACCTATTCCCGGCCGCACCTCGTCGCGCGCCAGCTACGTCTCCATCCACGATCGGCGCCGCGACTCCATCGTCTCCCTGACCGACGCCTTTTCCATCCACACCAACGGCGAGATGCGGCCTGCCTCGCCGACCATTATACGCACAGACTATTCCGCGCAGGAGTCGAGCACGCGTCCCCGCAGCGGCGTCTACTCAGGGGACGGGTCGGTGGTGCCATCGTCGCCGCACAAGACCCGCGGCCACGGGCTCGGCCACCGACGGTCCGCCTCGTACGCGCCCAGCCTGTACAGCCTTGCGACCAACGACTCGCAGTCGTCGCTGGTGCTCTCGTCGTACTACCAGAAGAGCGCGTACCACGCGTCGGACGCGCTCGCGACGCTCCGGCGCGAGGGCTTCGTCGACGGGGCCTTCCCGGCGGGCCACCTGCTGCCCAACATGGCGCGCTACATGCGCTTCTCGTCGGCGTGCTACGGGTCGCGCTTCCTCAAGGTCATGGGCATCTCGACGCAGGTGCCGGTGCCGGGCGCGTCGGAGGCGTCGACGCACCACGACGTGCGGCACTTTGTCCACCACACCGAGTCGGGTGCCGACAGCATCCTGCTGGCGTCGTTTGTCGACCCGCAGGGCGGCGCCGACGCGAGCGGCGCGACGGGCACGGGCGTGCCGCTCGTGCACTACATCTCGCTCGACCACGGCGCCAAGGCGGTGGTGCTCGCCTGCAGGGGCACGCTCGGCTTCGAGGACGTGCTGGCCGACATGACGTGCGAGTACGACGACATGATATGGCGCGGCAGGCGGTACAAGGTCCACAAGGGGATACACGCGTCGGCGCGCCGGCTGCTGTACGGCGACGATGGGCGCGTCCTCGTCACCATCAGGGAGGCGCTGCGCGAGTTCCCCGACTACGGGCTTGTTCTCTGCGGGCACTCGCTCGGCGGCGGCGTCACCTCCCTGCTGGGCGTGATGCTGGCACAACCCAACCCGGAGGGTCCCGGTTTCGTCATCTCGGCCGAGCCGCACGTCCGTCTCATCGAACCGCCACCGTCAAGCACCGCCTCCGCCCACACGGCGGCCCCCAGCCGGTCGAGCGACATCCGCCTCCCGTCGGGCCGGCGCATCCACGTGTACGCGTACGGCTCACCGGGCGTCATGGCGCCGCCGCTGCGCAAGCTCACGCGCGGGCTCATCACGAGCGTCGTCCACGGCAACGACCTGGTGCCACACCTCTCGCTGGGCGTGCTGCACGACACGCAGGCCCTCGCGCTGGCGTTCAAGAGCGACGAGAACAAGACCAAGGCGGACATCCGCGCACGCATGTGGAGCGCCCTGCGCTCGCGGTGGGCGGCCCCGGGCTTCTCGCAGTACATGCCCATGCACGCGGGCGACGGCCACGGCGGGCCGGGCGAGACGGACGAGGAGTGGCTCGCGCCGGCGCTCGACGCGCTGCGGCAGGGCATGAAGAACGCCAAGCTCGTGCCGCCGGGCGAGGTGTTTGCCATTGAGACCCAGCGCGTGCTCCGAAGGGACGCCTTTGTGCTGCCCGACGATGGGCCCGTGGGGAGGCCGGCGAGGCGCGTCGTGCTCAAGTACGTGCGCGACGTGGAGGCGCGGTTCGGCGAGGTGCGCTTCGGCACGGGGATGCTGACGGACCATAACCCGGCCAAGTACGAGGAGGCGCTGAACATGCTGCGGCTGGGGGTTGTGTAGGGCTGCCATGGCATGCCATACGCCGAGAGGGGGAGGAGGGTTGGAGATGGGACGGAACAGCTGCCCGCCGGCTGCCCGGGCCGCTCACCCATCGATTCACAGCCCGCCACTGCTCCCCCAGCAACCGAACAAGCCCTTATATACCCCAATAACCCATTCATTCCCCAACAGTCAGCGGCGAGGATGGCAATTTACTCAGAATGGCCGAGTCGTTGGGTGCAGGGAGCGTCGCCCCCTCTCCCTCCTGCGAAGGTCGTCGGTTCGACGCCCGGTGCCGGACCCGACGAACCTCTCCAGGCGGAGCTGGGTTAGTTTGGCGATGGCTGGCTACGAGAAGTGAGATTCTTCTGGGGCCTCTGGCTTCGGTCCTGGGAGGGGGTGGGGTTCCCGCCATCTTTATTTTTTGCCATTATTTTTTTGGTCTTTTTTGGCATCTCTTGCGGTCGGTTGTTGTTGGAGGTGGCGATGTGTGCGGTGGGCGGTTTGGGCGCGGGTGCGGCGCGCGTGTTGATGATGATAGATACCACTGTGTAATGATTTAAATGATACGACGACAGCAGATGGATAGATATACGAGAAGACGTGGGCGGAATAGAGTCATGGATATACCCAAGTCTTGGTGGAGTGCCATGTGCCGAGCTGGAAAGTGAACATGCTCGTCTGCCGACGAAAGACACGGTCAGGGCAGACAGACTCGGCATTCCCTTGCGATGCCACACTTCTTACCTAATTTTGGTCATGTTGCATTTCACATAAAAAGACGTAGATCCTCACACAGTCTCGTCGGAAAAGACTTGCTGCCCTCCACATCAAAAGTCCTGAACGCCCGTCTCGCCCGTCCTCGCGCGCTCCTCCCCCTCCGCCCACGTCGGCTCCTCATCCTCGAACCACTCATCCTGCGCCTCCCTACGCGCCGTCACGTCCAGATCCCAGTCGCCGTCCACGGCGTCATAGTCAAACTCCTCGTCGCGCCCGCGGATGAAGCGCTCCTGCAAGAACAGGCGCCACAGCTCGCGACCATCCGCCCTGTCCTCCGCCTCCGCATCCCACGGGTTGTCGATCCCCGTGCTTGCGTCGGCAGTCCGCACGTGGGAGTGCCCGTTGGCGCCGTTGGAGAGCTGCGCCGAGGAACCGGCGTTGGTCGCCTCGGCGGAGGGATCGCTGGCGGCGGCGGCGGCGACGCGCTGCTCGCCGCGCGCGAGGTCCGCCTCGAGAATGCGCCCGAAGCCCTTTTCCTGGGTCTCCGTTTGCCGTTCTGCGTCGGTCTGGAAGGCCTTGACCAGACGGGCGTACAGGATGGGGTCTTGAGACAGAGTCAGCATGTACATAAATGTTGGCGGATGGGCTTGACCGGCTGGCCGGCCACCACGCGAGTGAGTGAGCCGCAACAGAACGAGGCAGGCGGCAGCGGACATACCTGCGAGCTCGTGCTCTACGCTCTCAAAGTACGACGGGTGCTGCTCGAGCCACTCGCGGCGGCGGTTCTGCGCCCGGATGCGCTCCGAGGTGCGTGGCGAGGCTGGAGCTCTGCGGACGGGCGCCTCGGATGCGGCGTGGGGGGCTTCGTGTTCGGGGTCGAGCTGCATGCCCGTCATTGTGGCAGCAAAAGGCCGTTTTGCGGTTCTTATACAGACGGGCTGCGCATGTCGTGTTGCGGTTGTGAGTGCCGAGCAGTGGTCGCGATGAAGTCGGCAGATGCCGGTTGGTTCAGCGCCGAGGTGGGTGACCGGGCCCAAGCAAGCTCCAATGGTGGTGTTGTTTAGTGGGCCAGCTGCCAGCACCTGCCAGCACGAGCACCAGCAACCCTGGGAGCTCCCGTTCCTGAAGCAGCGGGACCCACGCTGGAGGATGCGGCGCTGAAGCCCAGAACATCCAGGCAGCCCGGTGTGCCGCGACTCTTCAACCGCGGATTGCATCTTTCGATTGACCACCGATGAACGGACTCTAATTTTTGTCAAGACTTTTTTTTAGCTGCGAGCCTCAGCAGATTGTTCCCGATGAACCAACACCCTGCCCGGCGTCAGATAATTTACCTCTCTGGAGCATCTGAAACTGCAACAGGAGCCAACACAGCCCGAATCGCTGGTGGGATCTCGATCCAGACCCTGGACAGACCATGCCACCTACCTATGTTATCCACCCTCACTCACGCCCCGAAGCCGCTATGCCTGGGCTCAGCACCCCTGCAAAGCTTCCTGCCAACCTCACTCGACGCCAGCACCACCACCACCAGCAGAGCACCACCACCACCTCCTGTCCGGGTATCTGCAGCCCGCAGCGCCGTGGCCGCTAACGCACAGCAACTGGACGCGTGCTGCAGCGCGCGCTGCGAGCGCCTCATGCCGCCCGCCCGCTTGGGCATGTTTTGCTGCGGGCGTGATGCCGTCTATTTCGACACCAGACGTCTGTCATATATTACCGTCGCCCGGTTGCCTCTCCTCGTTGTCGATACCTTGGTAGAGAATCCCACAAGCGCCCCCGTTCGCCGTCAGTCAGCCGCGCGCTGCTTGCACAGACAGACCCGGAGTGAGCACGACTCAGCCTCCGTCCCGTCCCGTTTCTTCAGCCGCCCCGGCACGATCCTCCATCGGGCCTCGACGCACCGTCGACTGATTCATCGCTCACCTCTCGCTCACTCACTCACTCACGCTGCTTCGTCTCTCCCTCCCTTCCCCTGCTCTGCGTCGCCTCGCACAATGACCCGCGCCGCTGCAGCCGCCGCCGCCGCCGTCCAGGGATGATGGCGTCCGACATTGCGTCCCGCATCAGGGCGCGCCTGTCGCGGCGTCGACACTCGACCACGGCGTCGCTGGCCAGCTCGACCCGCAGCAGCGCCCTCCTCGCCGACGACGCCGCCGGCACTCCGCGCCGCGAGCACTCGTCCATGAGCCGCGCAAGCGCCCGCGACGCGCCCACGCTCTACAGGCAGGGCAGCAGCGGCTACATCGTCGTGCCCGTGCCGGCGGTCGACGAGGCCCACGGCCACGGCGATGGTGATAGCGTGGGCGAGGGCGATGCTCTTCCAGTGGCCGCCGTGCCCGCCAAGGCCGCTGTTCCAGGGGCTCATCAGGCCCCCCAAGCGCCGCCGCCCCGGCACCACCAGCAGAGCCACCAACAGCCAGAGCAGCTCGACGGAGACCCGCAACAGGCAGCCCGAGAGGATCAACCTCCGCCACAGCCAAAACCGCAAATGGAATCCTCCCAGCATCTTCCTCCCCGACCATCGTCCACTCCACCTCCTCCATCCCCGTCCTCGTCGACCTCGCAATCCCCGGCGACCACCAACGGCACCGCTGCGCGCTCCCGCCATCTGTCGCCCGTCTCGCCCCCTCCGCCGCCGCCGTCCAACCCCCTGGCTGGGAGCTCCGCACTCCGCAGCATCCACGAATACTCGATCCCCCGATCCGTCACCACCGACGACAGCGACTCGCAGCCTCGCCATGGCCACGATCGCGACCACGACCAAGTAAGCGTCGCCTCCTCCGCCGCCGCCGCCGCACCTGCCTCTGGCATTGGTGGCTTGCTTCCTGCCACACGCGTCCCCGTGTCTGCACCCGCGGACGGCTCGGACGCACCCCGACGGCAGAGCCTCTTCGCGAGCCGCCAGACGAGCCTCATCCGCACGCTGCTCCACGGCTCTGGCGCTGCCAACAGCGGCGACGCAGCCGGAGACTCGGGCCATCGACAATCCATCGACGTCAACATGGTGACCCGCAAGATCTGGGTCAAGCGGCCCAACGCTTCGGCCACCACCATCACCATCAACGAGGAGGACCTGGTCGACGACGTACGTGACATGATCCTTCGCAAGTATGCCAACTCGCTCGGTCGGACATTCGACTCGCCCGACCTCAACATTCGCATCTATCCACGCGATCAAGAAAAAGATCGCCTCCTGGGCCCCGAGGAGCTCATGGCCCGCACCCTCGACCGATACTTCCCCGGTGGCCAGACGGTCGACGAAGCCCTCGTCATCGACATCCCTCGCCGCACACCCAAGCCCTCTCCGCGCGCACCGCCCGCCCCCGGCGCAGCGACCTACTACGTGACCGACGACGGGCGGCCTTCGGAGGCTGGCGAAGGATACTTCCCTCCCGTCACGGCTTCCGTACCGTCCCCCCATCTCGCGCACACTGTCCCCGTGCCGACTAATGGCACAGTCACACACTCGATCGCCGTACTTGGCACCGGCCACATCCCTCCCATCCCGTCGCCCGGCAGCACCCGCCCGCGCGTGCACAGAGAGCACCGCTCGGAGCGACCGAGGCTCGTTCGACAGCACACGGCGTCGCCCACAATCGTAGGCGGCCACCCGGCGGCGACGCCTCCCGTCCCGAACCACGGTATGCAGCAGCACATGAACCCGCGGCTCCCCCACTCCCGAACTCATTCCAACTCCTCAGATCACCCGCCGCTGCCCACCGTCAAGTCGTCCATGCCCAAGTCGCCCGGTCCGCCCCCCGAGGCCACGCCCGCCCGTGTCGCCACGCCCCCGCCGCGCATCGCCTCGCCGCGGTCGTCGAGCGCCCGGCCAAAGAAGGTGAAGAAAGCCACGGAATACACGCTGTCGACGTCGGCCTCCAGCAAGCTGCTCAACGGGTCGGTGCCACCGATCAACGTTCTCATCGTCGAAGACAACCCCATCAACCTGAAGCTGCTCGAGGCTTTCGTCAAGCGGCTCAAGGTGCGGTGGCAGACGGCCATGAACGGCCGGGACGCCGTGACCAAGTGGCGGACTGGCGGCTTCCACTTGGTTCTCATGGACATTCAGCTGCCCGTCATGAACGGCCTCGACGCCACGCGAGAGATTCGGCGGCTGGAGAGGGTCAACTCCATCGGTGTCTTCTCCTCCACGCCAGGAGGACCGCCAGACGAAGCGACGGGCGGCACGCACGAGATCAAGGACGGGGATCGCCTGGAGAACCTTACATTGTTCAAGAGCCCCGTCATCATTGTCGCCCTGACGGCAAGCTCGCTGCAGAGCGACAGGCACGAAGCACTGGCCGCCGGCTGCAACGATTTCCTGACAAAGGTAAGCAACGCACTCGCGCACCTCACGATATTCCCGCTGACCGGGTTAGCCCGTCAACTTTGTCTGGCTCGAGCGCAAGGTCATGGAGTGGGGCTGCATGCAGGCCCTGATCGACTTTGACGGCTGGCGCAAGTGGAAGGACTTTTCGCAGCAGGCCGAGGAGACAGAAGCGAGCAAGAAGGCAATGGAGAAGGCAAAGGCCAAGGCTAAGAAGAACCGCGCCTCACTGTCTTCCTCCACCTGAGCCGGGCGCCACACAACCACTATTTCTGTATTCACGACACGGCATATCTATGGGACGAACCGGGACATGACGGCAGGGACGGGCGGGCACGGGTATGACGCGATGGATGATACCAAGCACGGATGTATCTGGGATTCGACATATCCATTGTAATGAACATATTTACTATCAATTGCTATTGCCAGGCCTCGACTGTGTTGATGAATGATTTGCCGGTAATCCTAGCATGTGCCGTATGTGACTCGGGGTCGCCCTGAACCTAGTGGCTACCAACACCCGAAACAGCTGGGCTCCAAGGTTCAAGAAGGACTGAGATATACCACTGCCTAAGCAATACAAGAATAATCGCGCCGAATATCTTGCCACCTTATTTATAGAATGATCACGATTCATCTATTTTCTTTCCCCATTCCCTTGAGCGCAATTGAGGGAGTCCGTTGGAGACTTCGAGTTGCTCATGTTTTGGTTTGATGTCCTACCCGGGAGCGCAGAGGTCGGAGCGGAACAATAATCTGCCGGCACCGAAAAAAATCCACGACAGCTCTTCTACCACAGCACCAATTCTTCGCAAGCTACACACCATCACGACCTCGAGCCACCGCATTCGCCTGGCATTGGTGCGGGATGGTGCGGAATTTCACGAAAATTCGCATTGAATAATTTCGACACAATGCCTCCCAGATTACGAACCCCGTCCGCGTCGCTGGCGACCGACGCGTTCGCCTGCGCACCGTGTGCCCGCGCCCCCTTTGCCCGATCCTTCACGACGACGCCGTGCCGCGAAAAGATGAGCCGGGCGCGGCAACAAATGTACCAGTGGATCAACTCCCGCGACGGCAGGGAGCTGGCCGAGGGTGGCCGCGGGCCGCGGTACCTGGGGCCGTTCGCCGACCAGCCGTTCCCGCAGAACCCCCTGTTCCGCAGCCAGCCGGTGCTGGACGAGCAGACGCGCGAGCTCATCTGGGAGAAGGTGACGCAGCGCGGCGAGGCGCTCAAGGCGGTCTCGGCGGAGATGGGCGTCGACGTGAGGAGAGTGGCTGCCGTGGTTCGGTTGAAGGAGGTGGAGAAGCAATGGGTCAAAGACGTGAGTGCCTCTTCTTCCTGCTGATTTTCGATTGCATTCCCCCATCAACGACATGATGAGACAACAAAAAAATATTCGATTAGTCTTGAAGACATACCCCGTGGTTAGAACTTTTGTTTCGCTGATCCTTCATCTGGACCGCTCACTGCTTGCCTCATATCCTTCTCTTTGAGCTGCTTCTGACAGAAACACAGGGCAACAAGCTGGCGACGCCATACGCCAAGGCTGTCATGAGCATGCTTCCCAAGACGTCATACCGCGAGGGCGAGCAAAACACGCCGCACGAGCCCGTCAACGAGGTGCACGTGCACAAGCTCACGATGCAGCAGCTCTTCGTGCCGGTGTCGGAGTCGCGGCGCTTCACGCGCGAGGACGCGGCCAAGGCCTTCCACGAGACGATGCTGTCGGCGGACAAGCGGTCGCCGCAGCCGGAGCTCATCAAGATGGAGCGCGAGATCCTCGAGGGCAAGCGCAGCCGCGAGGAGGGCATGGAGCGGTTCAAGGAGGCGACGCAGCGCGAGGAAGACGCGGTCGCGCGGCGCATCGTGAAGCAGCAGGAGGAGGAGGAGCGGCGGACAACGCGGGTGCACACGGACCGGTACGAGTTCCGGTTCAAGGAGGTGAGCGTCAACGACGCAGGCCGGGACGGGCGGTCGCGCAAGGGCACGGGATGGCGGTACGGAGCGCCGTTCGACGACCGGAAGAGGGGCGTGGTCAAGATTCCGACGTCGGTGCCGTGAGGAGACGAGCCTGTTTTGTATGATGGCGCTGTATAATACCATGTCCAACACCTGTACAATGCTATAGCAGATGGTCTACGTCTGCTTACCACGTCCTTGACATCACATTGCGGTCGACGTGCTGGTTTCTGAAGAGTTGGCGTCGCATCTGGGCCGCCGCAACTCCAACATGCGACGGCACGGGGTGCCGTTGGGGATCAGACGGCCAACTGAGATGCGGCTCGTGGGAGTGTTGGCCGTCGACGCACGCGACCCAGCACGATGCAGGGAGGAGTCGGCATCGAAGCGAGAACGAGCCCGACCCTCACAGTGCAGCAGCTACCCTACTAAGATGCGTTTAAACGCTGCGCGCCAAGGCGAACCGGCTGGTGCCTACCGGCGACGATGCATGTTGGTCCGTCTCGCAGAGTGCTAAGCGAAAGCGCCGGACGAATAAGTCGGGACGTGCTGTGTAGTTTGTTCGAGAGGACCGTCACGATCACTTCACCCGAGCTCGACCTGCTTTCGTACTACGTAAGAGAAATTGTACTGCTAGCGGTGCATGCTTGCTGTGTGATGGAAGTACACTACCCTCCGCGGAGGAGCTCTGTGCAGAGGCACTGACCGCCATCGTGGGAGGGAGGGGAGGGGAGGGGAGGGGAGATGCAGACAGACTCGAAGAGAAGGAGGGACCGGCGCGCATGTATGCAGTATGCGGCTCTTCCCCTTTGTCCTCCATCTTGCTACGATACGAGGGAGACAGTGATTGGGTTGCCGTAGTCCTGGGCGGAACGGCTCGATCAGAGAGGGAGAGAGGAAGAGACGGAATTGATGTTGGATCGTGCTGTGCTGTGCCACGGCTCACTCAGGTACCATAGGTCCGTCTGCGGTGCGCCACACGGGGACGACGTGGAGGCCCACGGAGGCGTGCGGATGGACGGGCGGGCGGGATGGCGGGCCGCCCGCGTGCCCGGTGGGGACCGCTCCGGCGGCAGGTACAGCACCATGGACCTTGCTAGAGCTTCCTTGCCTGGCAGAGGGAGGTCGCGGACGGGCATGCCATTCCCGCTAAAAAGCTGCTGCCCCCCTGAAATATCAATCAACATGTATTTCGTGCTGTTCACAATTTTGCCTTCCTTCTCTTACTGTACAGTGCATGCTTCCAAGTTTTTCCGACCGAGGAAGGCACTCGCAGATGCAACCGGGCGAGCTCGTACCACCACCATCACCACCTACCTATCTCCAGGCCGCCGCCGCCGCCGCCGCCGCCCGTCCGGCCGTGAGCCGACCGCCCCTACCTACCTAGGTGTGCCCCCCACGCGCCCCCAGCACAGCAAGCAACACTACTAGAGGTGACTGGCACTCACAAACGATTCCGTCAAAGACACTTCACGGCACACGGCACACGGGGCCATTGCCCTCCCACTTCCCGCGAACATAGCCTGCCAGCCATAGGGCTGAATCCCGTCCGAAGCCCCTGGCATGGGGCATGCCACCCGACTGCATGCCCGGCGCCGTCGCCGCCCCCGCTGCAGCGATTCTGCGGGGCGCGCCCCAGCGACCAGGCAGCCATGCCCGCCCACACCCATGCCCGTCCATGTGCCTGCCCGCTGCGCTGGGGTGAGTGAGTGAGTGAGTGACTGGCCGCCCAGGGGGTCCCCGTCACCAGGCAACAACCCACGAAACGTCCAACCACGGCGTGTCAATTCGAGACGCCTTTGGTGTTTGGGGCATTGATGAGTGCCGGCTCCCACATCCGCTTGCTTTTTTGCTTGCTGCGAGGAGAGAGCCCCGCGGTGTGCCTTTTTACGGTTTGTCAAATGGCGGTGGGGCACCGAAGAGTCACCACCACAACCATCACCACTACTTCAAAGTGGTGGCCGTCACAGGGCGAGACATCACAGAGGACAAGAGACACCGTGAATTATTCCCAAGGCCGTAAATCCGTCAATTCATTGCCGTCTGTCCAACATTGCTGTCGTGTGTCTAGTCTTTGTCTAATGATGCTCCCGAGTCCCAATTCCAGTCCCAATCATGATGATGCATGCCTTCGTTCCCTGTTGCCTGTTGTACAATCTGTCGTCCGTCTCGTCGTGAATTATCCCGTCTGTCTCAGGCAGCGGATCGTGAATGTTGCTGCGCTCAAGAGCTAAACGAGTACTGGCAGTTGGAGCAGCGGTAGTTGAGGCACGACGGGCAGCTCGCGTCGAGCGCCACCGAGAACCAGCCTCCGTCGCAGTGGCACTGAGGGCAAGTTAGCAAGGCACGGACGGATGCAAGGCAGCGAGGCGGGAAGACGTACGCATTGCCAGAGGCTGGGGTGAGAGTAGTCGGCCATGACGATGTTGTTCTCGACGTTGGCGTTGCAGCACATGATGCGTTGTTCAGGTGATGGCGTTGCAAAGTAGGCAGACAAGAGTCAATTGGACCAAGAGGTCGTGTGATGAAGAGTGATGTTGGTGGTGATGGAAGTGAAGACGGGAAGGGTCAAGATGGCCGCGGCCTTATAAGGCCGTCCAACGTGGCCTTGGGAGGTACACTTCGAGGATGCCTGCAAGGCTCGTGTCTGTCGACATTCCTCGCCGCGAGGGAGGAGATGGGGCAGTGCGTATGCCTCACGCCAGACGGCCTGGCTGTAGGACCACCAGGGCGGACCAATGTGACCGATGACGCTCGGTGAAGCATCTGGGGAACCACCAATTGGTCGCCCTTGGCTTGAGTCAAACCAGGCTGTATCAAACGCACGCCCCGTCGTTGCAACACGGCTCCATGCTGAGTCAACGGCCCCCAAGCAGGCAACCTCCAAAAGATGAACTGAGGCCCCATTAGTGAGCGCCATGGAGCCGTCCTGGGCGGCCGGACGCGGCAAGGGCGTTTCTGCATGGTGCCAACGCCGAGCCCAGGTGATGCGGGCCGGGAAACCGGCGCGGTTAGGTTCCAGTCCTGCCTGGACGCGTCGGTGACTGTTGCTGACGGTCACGGGCACACGTGCGATAAAGAGTCGGACGTTTAGCCGTGTCACGGGGCGGCAGGCAGAGGGCAGACATGGCTGTGCGCCCGAGTTGAAGGCGCGCTAGTGTCCAACAGTGCCGTTGGCATCGCCGTGCGAGCAACGAAAGGCGGCCGCCATTGGGCTGTCGCGACGTCTCCGGCCCAAGGCGTTCAGGACGACGACCGTCCGCCCGCTGGGCGTCGACCGCAATGACCCGAGCAGCGTCGAACAAGGGGTCAGCCTCGGTGGCTCGGCGTGGACAAGCGAGTCCTGGACGTGTTTGCTACCAGTCCTGGCGGGGTCTCCAAGGCGATTAGCGTTGCAGCCTTTCCGCGAGAGCGCAACTCACTTCCGTGTATCAATTGGGTGAGGGGCCAGTCCCAATGGCTCGGGTGTGGCTGTGCCCCTAGACCAGGCTGAAGCAACCCGGCTGCCAAACTGGACAAAAAAACGAGGCGGACCCAGGCCCGGGCAGCTAGCTGGGCGACGAGCGAGGCTGCGACCACCGAAACCCTCGACACTCCCTCACTCTTCTTCCAACCCGGCTAGGCACGGGCGGGGCCACGGAGCTGCCCATCGTGGAGACTGCACAACGGGGCGACGGCAGGGCGGGGCCAGGCGGGACGATGGGCTCGGGCGCCACAGGCAGCACGCCCACGAGGTGGTCATGTCGCCCCGGCGCCGTGCTGTGCAGCCTGGGGGCCGGCTTGGGCGGCAGCTCCAGCTCCAGGCAGAGCTTGTTTCTTCGTCGATTTAGCCGTGTCGTCTGCCGGCGCCCGCGAGGCTTGCCTCAAAAGGCTGCCCGGCTGCCGCTTCAGGGCTCGGTGTCGATGTTTTATTTTCGGGCCATCCTGCCGTGCCGCTGCGGGATGGCGCGCCGTCGTCGGCGGGCCTGCTCGACGTCGCTCGCGTCGAGACGCGGGGGTGTTGGTTGGGCCGCCGTTCAGGTCGCAAGAAGCCGTCCCCGTCTCATCGTCGACACCCGGGTCGCCAATCGGGCCAGTCATGTGACCGGCTCCCGAGATTTGAGATTGAGGGGAGGGGGGCCGACGGCCATCGCACGATTCGGCAGTCGCGACCAGTTGGGGCAGCGCGCGTGCAGGGCAGGAACCGGCTCAGGGCAGGAACGTCTTGACGTCATGGGCGCTAACAAGGACGGAAATTGGGCTGCACGGGCTCTGAGACGATAAATTGGAGCCGCCCAGACTCGTCACAACGGCGTGTTCCTGGCGTCGAATGCTACGGTGTCCGTCAAGCAGCGCTAATCTACTAATCACTGCAGCAAATTCTGCTCTGCCCTTGGCGAGGTCGTTGCGTATTTAGTGGTGGTGGTCCCATCGTCGCGCCCAAGCCCGCGCCGGTAGCAGACGAGCAACCGCATTTCATCAGGAATCCACGCGCGATCCCCGAGTCCCCATCTAGTCAACAACCGCGCGACCCCGACCGCGACAATGGGCTTCTTCAGCACGAGCGCCAGCTACTTCGCCTTCAGCGGCCTGCACCTGGTGTGCTTTGCCCTCGCCCTGACCGTCTGCGGCTTGTACGGCCAGGACCTGAACAATGCGCACCACCTGCACAAGTACGCCGACTCGAAATGGGTAAGCACGCCAAGGGAGGGTCGATCTGACGCGCGAGGTGCCGGTAGGACTGACAGGGGCGGCTAGGTGTACGCGGTTGTCGTCGGCGCGCTCTCCGCAGTGACGTGCGTCGTGTACTTCATCCCCTTCGTGCTGCGACACGTCGGCATCGTGGCGGCCGTGTGGAGCCTGATTCTCTTCATCCTCTGGATCGCCCTGTTTGGCGTCTTTGGCGCGGTACGTCACGTCACCGTGATGCGCGTGTGCAGAAGCGCGGCATGCTAACGACGCGCAGCTCTACATCAAGGAGGACCCAGAGGGCGACGGCGGCATCAAGCGGATGAAGAGCGCGGTCTGGGTTGACCTCGTCAGCGCCCTGCTGTGGCTCATCTCGGCTGTGTCCGTCTTTGGCTACTGGTGGAAACACCGCGATACGCGCTCGCAGTTTACCGGACGTGCCCACGTCTAGATATGAAGGCGGCTGACGAGCGACGACGTTGGGGCGAAGTAGCTGTTGACGGCGATACACGATCGTACGACCCGGGTTTGGCACGGCGTTGGTACAGCGCGCCCTAGATACCACTTGTTCGACACTTGACTTTGTTGGGGTATTCATGCGTTTGGCTGTGAGTTTGGATTGGAGAGGCGGGACAATAATCACCGAGGTACCTAGTAATAATTATGCAGCATGGCCAGACATTTGGCGTAATGAAGGCATGAGCGCCGAGCGGTGGGAGACGTCGGCGGCATGAGACGGTGCGTCCAAAACTGGCAGCCCCTCGGAGTTGCACTCATCAGTCTTGAGCCGCAGGCGTCTGCAGCGCAGGGCCGATCCGTTGTCACCGTCGAGGACATCGTTCACCCCGGCAGCGGCAGCGACCATGAATGCTGAATGGTGACGTAACGGGAGGAGCTGGCTGTTCCCCGGTGGCGCCCAGACAAGGCGATAAGAGTACGCGATGCAGTCGCAAGCCTGTTATTGACGAGACGACCCGAGTCTAGCAAGCAAGCGCTTGTGTCTGAAGCGCCGTAAAAACCGGTCAGCGTTTTGTTGCACAGAGTCAGAGACGGGACGGGACGGTTTCGTAGCGTCCATGACGGTGAGAGTTGTGTGGCGGCGGACGTCATTGGCGCTCCGTTTCTGCAGCTCTTGCACCTCCAGATTGGCCGACCGGGATGGCTTGCACGGATGCACGGCCCCAGGCTCGCCCCCCCCAAACTTCACTCGGCTGCAACGTGAAGCCCAGCAGCCCAGCCGGTTGATATCAATCAGGCGAGATGGGTGGCGGAGATGCACTGCAGCATGCACGGTGACCCGCAAAACCCTTGAACCTAAAGCGCTTGGCCCTGCACCCTGATCCCATGGCGGGGGACTTTTCGAGCTTCGACTCGGGGACGAGATCAGCGCGTCCTGTGCGCGAATGGGAGGGCATTGTCGAAGCGAAACGCGCTCATAGTGTCGGACAGACGGATGTGGTGTCTCCCTAACCATGGGCTGGTGCATGTGTTGGCGGCGGAGATGGTGGTCAAGGGGACGTTGGCCATGAGGCATACTGGTCCAGCAAGGTCCACTGACGGTTTGCCTGAAAGCCATTGCAAAATGTAGACGGCGCGTCAATTTATTGCCCTGCCGAGAACTATTACTGTACTTTCGAGAACGACAAGAAGACCGTTGACAGGAGGTTTGCTCGGTGCTTGGCTTCTCGGTCGCACGGCATGGCCTCAGCGTGCCGTTGCGGGGTGGCGAGCAGATCGGCTCCTACTTGCTGGGCCGGGGCGAGTAGGTTTGGCTTGGGTTATCAGGTCACTGGCGAATAACGCGCCCATCTTGACGGCGTGCCTCGCGTCATTCGCTGCTCTGCTGCGTAGCCGGTGCAAACATGGTGCATCAACTATGCATCTCGCTGGCCCGTTGATCTCATCTCCTCCCGGAACCCCGAGCCCCAACCCTCGCGCGAGATGCGGGACGGCAATTGTCGTGGCAGGAGGGACCTAAAATGAGTTACCTACCCTTTCCCTCGCAGTAAAGGTTGTGTGACGCGGCGGCGACGGCGACGGCGAGCGCGGATGCGTGAGGCAAAGTCGCCAAGCCCAGGGGACCCAGTTTATGGCGCCATCTGGACACTGTACCAGTCAGTGATTTCCGCCAGTTGGAGGCACCAGATTATTAGTTGGAGCACGAGCGGCCGGCCCTGTGCCATTCCTGCCTCGAGTGACGAAGCCCCCCGGCCGTTGTTGTGACCGACGACGGGTGCAACACGAGCCCGACACAAGGCGGGTACGAGATGATACCGAGGACGACCCGCGTGATGGCCACGCCGTCCACGAGGGCGCAAAAACAATGGGAAAAAGTGCAGCGAGAAAATTAGAATAGGGTAATGGGATATCCCGTGACGAGCGCATGCCGAAGGGCCCGACCATCCGCCACAGTGGTATGCCATCCACGGACACTTTGAGTGCCGGAGTGTGCAAGCAAGGTTCCACGGACCTCGACGGCCACGGCAGCCCCAAGGCCTGTGGCTGTTACTGCTTGACTGCCCTGAGGTGCTGTGCGAGGTCCACGCTGCCCGCCGTGCGCGAGGTGCTGCAGCGCGCCAATCAGTGGGGCCTGCCCACCACCACAACCACCACCTGCACCTGCACCGAGCACCTCCTGCGGCACGACGACGCCGCCGCCGCCGTCGCCGCCGCCGTCGCCCACGCGCCAGTGCCTGAGCTGCCCGTCCGTTGTATCCTTGCTCCACTGAAATGGGTCAGACTGGAGGTGGCAGTGGAGCGCCGTGTTGGGTCATGTCGAGACGCCGGGCGCTCACTCACCACCACCAACCCAACAGGCTGCGCCTCCTGATTCCTCGACCGCGTCGGTTTATCACTGCAGCCGGCCCTTGCATCCGACCTCTTTTCTCTCATACTACTCATATCTCGTCTCACATTCGCACTCGAATTGACGGACCAACGCATCTTCGAAGGGCTTGTTCCAGCCCTTGTTTGAAGAACCTCGTCTGCAGGCATCCGCTGCAGGCAACGGCGCCCCTCAAGCACACGCATCCCGGCCTGGACTCTCCTCCTTCTGCCTCCCGCTGACAAACCCAACGACTGGACGGCTCTGCTGCCTCGACTGCTCTTCTGCCACTCTGTCTTTTCTTCATCGACACCGATAACGACAAAGACGACGGCGACGGCGCCGCCGACTGTCGCTGCGTGCCCAATCGCCCCATGTCTCGCTGCCCCGACCATCCCGTTTCGACGTGGCCTCGAGGAGCCGTTTACTCGCAGCATCAACCACGACAGATTCGCGCCCCGCTTGCGACGTAACTCCAGGGGGAGAGGCTGCAATTGCCCGCAACCCATCTGATATCGCCGCGTCCGCCGCCGCCGCCGACGCCGCCATGGCCAGCTTCGCCCGCTCCTTCAAGCCCCCGGCCTCGTACCTCTCGCCCGTGCGACGCCCCGGCATGCCCGGCCGCACCATCAGCAACTCGTCGGACCTGTCGCTGACGTCCAACGCCAGCGGCCCCCCGGCCGACGACAATTCGCGGGAACAGTCTGTGTCGGCGCCGGGCACGCCGTACTTGAGTGGGCCGGAGGACGAGCAGCGCGCCTCGTCGACCAAGAGTGAGTTGCCCGAATCTTTCCTTGTGTCATTGTTGTGGACTGTACTGCACGCCTCGGCGCTCCGTCTCTTCTCCTGGTCCTGCTGCTGCTCTCACGACATCCGAAGTCGGATATGAGCGAGACGGAGTTTGGCTCCGGCCACGCCGCCAGCTCCCCCAAAGACGGCTCGCCGAGCTGCCCTTGGCCCTGGAAACACGGACGCGGACCTCGCGGCGGCTCTTGGCCGCTGCCAGAGCGTCATCCTAGCCCGTCCCGGTGGTTCAAGGGAAGCCGCTGCAGCCGCCCCCCGCCGCTCCACCATGACGCCTCAAACGGCCCATCCACCACACACACACACCGCCCAGCGCACCAAGCCATGCCAGCCATGCAGCAAATCCCCCCCTTTCCGGGTGCCCCTCCCGCGCACTGGTGCCCAGCCATCGCGGGGTGCAGGAGCGGTGGCATTCTGACAGCCACCGGCTCCCGCCGCCGCACACCACCACAATGCGATCATCTCAACGACGGGCGCCCTGAATAGTTACGTGGGGACGCAGATGGTCGGGCTGGGCTTGTGCTACGGGCTCTGAAACGAAACCCTCCACCAGTTGCCCACCGCATTTTGCCAGTCCACCATCCCATTCCACAATTGCACCACAATTATGGCACATGCCACATCCCCGCCTTCTCGAGTGGGAGGAGGAGTCGTTGCCCGAGAGCCCGAGCACGACCCCGAGTCACCCATGACCCCGTGCCTCTGCATCGCCCGTCTCCCTTGGCGCGCGATCGCCGGCCTGGGCGCGATACAGCACGGCGCATTTGGTATATTATAGATCGCTGACACCCGCGGCAGACAGCCCCGACGGCTTCCCTTTCCATTCTTCCCGGAGCGCGAGTCATAGCCGTCCCATCGCCATCGAGCTTCCCAAACTGAAGAAGCTCGCCTCTCCCTCGTCCGTTCGCACGCCGCCGGAGCCACTCTCCGCGCGGGGCGACCTCCCTGGGTAAGCCCCACCTCAGGACAGAAAAACACCCAGGCACCGCCGCGGCGCTGACGTCGTCGGCGTCGAATTTGCGCAAGGGTGTTTCTGTCTGCTGGTGCTTTTGTTCTAGCGCCGTCGCTGACATGTCGTCGTCGTCACAGAGGATATTTCCCCAACCACGAAGACCCCAAAAACCGCGTCCACCGCCCGCACCCCTTCACCAACGCCAACGACCCGCGCAACCCCTTTATCCTCTCCGACTCGGCTGCCATGCAGGCCGACCGCAGGATGCCCACCTCGCATCCCGGCTTGTCATCCGCCATGGCCGCTCCCGCCAACCTTCCCGTCTCGTCGTACCTGGCGCCCGGCTTCCACGATGCGCCCGTGCCGATGGGCAAGTACTATCCCTCCAACTACGAGAGGAGCACGCGCAGTAGCGGCCAACGACAGGCGCGGCATCCCGAGAGCCTGCCATCTTCCATCAAGTCGGACTCCCAGGTACCCCAATACACGGGCGCCGAGACTCCCGAGGCCGAAACTCGGCGCAAGATGCAGCAGTATCAACGCGACATGATTGCGCAGGCCGCCATGGCCCTTGGGGGCTCGTCCAAGGCGGCCAAGACAGGCGCCACCGTCGCCCTCAACGGCATCCCACTGAAGGACTCGTGGTACACCTCGTCGCCGCACAAGCCCGCCTCGCCTCGCCTCGACCCCCTCGGCAGCCCCGGCCCCGTCACGCCCATGGACCTTGATGCGAGTCGCGTCAGCTACCTCGACAAGGGCTTGGACAGGCTGTCCAGGGACGGCATGCCCCTGCCCGGCGCTCCCGTTGGGCCGCGATCCATGTAAACGACTGGACCAGGAACAGTGCATTTGGGCATTCGCTTTGCTTGTGCAGAACACGACGCATCAGGCTTGAGCGATATTACACTCGCATGGCATTAGCAGACGACGCATTTTTGGCCGCATTCTAGTGCAGAAGCAGGCCCTGCATGGAGTTTTGGACGTGGCTGCAGACGCAGTCTCGCGAGCTGCGGCTGTATGATACCCTTAGACAGAACGAGATTGACCCCTGAGGGGACGTTGTGAGCTGCATGCGCTTTTATAGCCGTATCAACGTAGTATATATGTGAAATGTGAAGATTGTAGGCACGTTGCAAGGCTGCACTGTAACTTCGCTCGTAAACCTGGAAGTCAGCTCGCTTGGGACATGATGGTCTGTTGTTGCTTAGCGTTTGGAGAAGGATAACAGCATCATTTCGCAATCAAGAACGAAGCTGGCTTTTGGTTGATATGTGTAGTTGACGCCTGGCTGGTTCCTGCGTGTATCGCCACGTGTAGCTACGCCCGTCTTGTTCCTGACCCAACACCTCACGTGACTTTACTCGCTCGTCCTCCCCTTTTCTCGGGACCCGGTTCATCGTGTCCTTATATCTAGCATTCTAAGTACCGTTCAACCAGCCACTCGCCATGCCCCGGACCATCCTATTAAACAATAGACTACGCTCGTTTGAATCAGCTGCCGAGGAAGAAAGTAACATTCTTCTCTCCATCCGACACCTATCTGCTGCTGAGAACTTGAGGAATTCGCTGTGGGACCGGAGAGAGTCGATTGAAGCTGTGGTTAGGTATCATCTTGGGCTACGCCGAGATGACGTCTGCACAGTTCTGCCTGCGGATTCGTGGATACGAGGCGGTTTCAATCTTTGCGTTCTCGTGGAAGTGAATTCCTGCGGCGTAGCTCAAAGGCTTGTGTTCCGATGCCCTATGCCTCATAAGCTTGCTGAACACCAATACCCGGGCACGATCGATGAGAAAGTCAGCTGCGAAGTAGCCACATATGTGTGGATGCAGGAATATTGCGCCGATGTTCGAATCCCAAGGCTTTACGCTTTCGGCTTCAATGACGGCCGCTACGTCCGTGTTTTCTGCTCTCCGCTCCCGTCATGACGCTGACGACCCGCTCAGTTCACCCATGTCAGCAAGCGGCCGTTTTACGTCAGAGTCTACCGCGGCTTCCAGCGATGGATTCGTCGGCTCCTTCACTATCCCTTGCTCTCGAACTATCATCGCGAGGCATCCGTACCTGCCATTGACACCGCCTACATGCTGCTGGAATATATTGGTCCCGAGACTGGGCAAATGCTTTCACGCACTTGGGCTTTACATATGCACGATGCTGATCGACGAGCTCGCTTATTTCACGGCATGTTGCGTATTATGCTATCCCTTGCGCGGCTACCACAGCCACGAATCGGCTCCTTTCGATTCGACACGAGCGACGCAACGATTTCACTTTCCAATCGACCCCTGACATGCACCATGATGCTCTTCGAGAACAGCGGCACCCCACGAACGATCCAGCCTCACCAACTATATCAGAGCACGGACAGTTTTGCCTCTGATATGCTTACGCTGCATGATGCTCATCTTCTTCACGACCCTCATGCCGTACGCTCCGTGGAAGATGCCCGAGAGCGAATGGCCATCAGGGCACTGCTGCGAACAGTCATGCACTACTTCATCTCTACAGATCGACGGGATGGACCCTACCTCCTACAGCTGACGGACTTTCATCAGAGCAATATTTTTGTAGACGATGATTGGAATATCACGTGCTTGATCGATCTTGAGTGGATATGCGCTCTTCCGGTAGACATGTTGTCGGTCCCATACTGGCTTACGGACTGCAGCATCGACGGCATCATTGACGATGAGTACGGTGTCTTCGATGAGGCGCGGCAGGCCTTTCTGGCGATCATGGACGAGGAGGCCAGACGCATACCGGCGGAACATGACATTGACATCACGAGCACGATGAGACATGCTTGGGAGTCAAAAGGAGTGTGGTTTTGGGCATGCTTGCGGTCCATAAATGCCTGGCTCTTCGTGTTTGAGGACCACATTCTTCCAAAGTTCTCCGCCGACAAAGGCCTGATTGGCGACCTGAAGCAGGTCTCGACGTTTTGGCACGAGCAAGCTGAGCCGGTCGTGAGGGCCAAAGTTGATGACGAAGAAAGGTACCAGGCAGAGCTGAGGTCACTCTTCAATAGAGAAGAGGCTTCGAGAAGTGAAAGGAATAGACCATCCCTTGATGACGAATGTGCGCCATCCATTCCCTACCTTCATCATCTTGCTTCCGGGGTTTCTCTTGCCTTAAGTGTTGGTCAGTTAATGACCCCCAGGGGTTGCCTTGGGCGTTTCCTGTATCCCAGCAAGTTTCGAATTGAGGCATTTTCCGACTAGAGCGATGTGGTGAGTTTTGGTCGAATGTCGCGTTGGAGATGGCAACGGCTATTGGGCGCAATCGGGCAAAGGTACAAAATGATGTGATGATGATGGTGCGGTGCCCGGTAGTGAAAGAGCGCGCCATAATTCTCTTTCAGTGGCTGGGTTGCTGAGCACGTGAGTTGGCGTCGCGCGTACCAAACGGTCAGCTTTCCCGTCGCGTCGCTTCACGCGGGGCCTTGGGCCAGCAATTAAACCAACCGCGACAACACAAGCGAAACCCCTCCAGCAAATCCCACCAGGCGCGCCGACAAAGCAACACGAGGGTATGGGCTTACGGAAATCATGTCGTTCGCCGTGAGGAGGCCCGTCGCCAACCCGTCCTCCTCCGGGGGCGGCGCGCACGGCGGCCACCCGACGGCGCCGCCGCCTCTGCCCACGACGGCCCCCGTGCTCGACTTCATATGCCTCTTCACGCACGACCTGCGGCGCAAGCAGAAGCGCTGGCAGGACGGGCGCCTCAAGTACCACACGTTCAACCGCCGCGTCATGGTGTACGACGAGCGCGGCAACTTCATCGGCGACGCGCACTGGCCGCCCGGCGCGGGCGACCTCGACGAGGGCGAGGAGCTGGAGCTGGACCGCGGGGCGGCCATTGTGCAGGTTGCTGAGTGCGCGGGCGTGCGCGAGCAGGACCTGAGTGAGGTGCTGGACCGGCGGGTGCGCGACGTGGAGAGGCGCAGGGCGGAGCGCGAGGCCAAGACGACGACGACGCCGGGGAGGACGCCGCGCGGGGCAACGACAGACGGTCCGGTGGCGGCGGCCGCGAGGGCAGCGCCGGAGAGGCAGCAGCAACAGCAGACGCACTTTCAACTCAATCACCGGCCTCTGAGCGCCATCGTCCCGAGCCCCGGCCCGCTTGGCCGCGCGGCGGTACCGCAGGAATCCCCCTTTGAGGCGCGGCGACGAGTCGAAGAGGAAAACGCCGGGGAAAGGCCAGACGCAGACACGCAGCGTGGAGCGAAGAGGCGAAAGGTCGGCATGCCGTCTCCGCCGAGCAAGGCTGGGTATGCGCAGAGCCTGTTTGGCACGAGGCTGACCCTGTCGGGCTGTCCGTCGTCGTCCGCGGAGGCCTGGGCGCGGGTCCGGGCGCTGAAGGAGCGGACGAATCTGCAGGGGCGGAGCCAGGAGCTGCTGGATAAGGGGCAGAGAAGAGAACGGGACATGCCGGATGATGAGGATGTGGATGTGGTGATGGTTGAGCGGTCGACACGAGAGACGCCTGGCAGTTCTCCGCATTTTGCGGCACCGGCGACCAGAGGTACTCCTCGACCGGCGGCGAGAACCCTTGGGCAGGCCTCTCGGAAAGTTCATCAAGAGGCCACTTCAGATGAGCAACAGACGTCACGAGTCAACGCGACGAAACCGAATGCAAGACAAGCCTTGGGCAGCATACGCGAGAACCGACCGCCAACACGAAAACTCCCGATATCATCTACGCCCATGGACCTCACAGGTGACGATGAAGTCATGGAGATCGACACGCCTGTTCCCCGAGAGCCCGCGCGTACGAGAATAACCTCTGTGCCAGCCAGGAAGGAAATGGGGAAGGCTCTGAACCACCTACCCCCACCAAAGCCACAAGAGCAACAACGACAGAGAGAACGGTACACTGGCCGCTCATCGTCGCAAGACCAGGACGAGGCGATATCGCGCCCGGAAGGCCCGCCGGCGCCGCTCAAGGAAGCAGGGCCACGCACGGAACTTCGAATTCGGGCAAGGCAGCGGAGGGGCCTGCTCATGGTTGCAGAGAGGAAGCAGCAAGTGAACAGATCGCATTCGTCTGCGACGCCAGACTCTAGCGGCGTCAGCGTCGGGGCCGAATCACTCAACCGCACAGCCAAGCTCTCTGAGCAGCCCCGGGCCAAGCGGCAGCGGGCTGAAGATACACCAGAGCCCGAGGACTTTGATGTCGCATCAGAGGCCGAACCTGCGGCACCAGGCGCAGACTTGGACAATGCAAGCGACGTGGACCGACCAGGTGGCGGTGGTGCTGGGCCTGTCTTTGCCGAGTCTAGCAGCGACAGCGACGCGCCACCTGTGAGGCGCAAAGTACAGCGCAAGAAGCCGAACACAATCGACACAGACAAGGAAGCGTCGTCTGTGGAAGGCGATGAGAGGGCCAGCGACGGCAGCCAGGGAAAGCCTGCCAGTCCAGCGTCCTCAGATCAGTCCGTCATTGCGCCGGCGCGACCTACGCGATCCTCTCGTCGCCGCCGCAGAAGCCCGACGCCAGACCCGTTTGACGATGATTCTGATGGTGCTTCGTCGCCACCACGAGCCAAGGAGCGCAAAGCCAGCCGCAAGAAGGCTCAGGCTGTTGAGCCTCCAGAGGACAAACCTGCCCCGTCAGGTCCACGAATCACCAAGATGGCGAGAAAAAGCGTCAAGAGCAGAGAGATTATAGGCTTTGTGGTGCGCGACAATGTGGTGCCTGCGTCCTTTGCGGCCGCTACAGGGAGGATCGGACTGGGAATCCCAGCTCCTGTGCCGCCAACAGTCGGTGTTGCGGCGTCCAGCGCAAGAGCAAGTACAGATATCGATACGACGAAAGTAGCAACTGCGATGGAAACGGCTGGCCCTGCAATGCATTCAGGCGCAGGGGCGGGCGATTCGACGGCGGAGCCAACGTCAAAGTTAAATGACAGCAATGGGGGCGTGGCACTCCAAACCAACGGCCGGCCCGATATCACAGAACGCGCAGAGGCCGTCGAACAGCGTGCACCCACGACGGCAAGCGACTCGACAAATCCACCACTACAAGCTCAGAGCCGCCCTGAGGAGGCCGTTGAGCACACGACCAGGCCCAGCAATGCGCCACCAGCTGCAGCCGAGCCTACGAAGAGCGCACCGACGAACCAGACGACCACGTCCCCCGAGCATTCAGACACCCCTGCTGCGACTGCCGCCCCCAAGCCGCGAATCGCCAACCCGGCCACGCGCGGTAGGAAAGCGGCCCGGAAGGAAGACGCGGCCGGGCAGGCTCCGCAGACCCTCGTGCCCCTCGAGCCGCCCGCGGTCATCTCGGTGCGGCCGCGAGCCGTCAAGGTGGTCGTCGACGCCGGGCCGGAAACGAAGAAGGATGCAGGCGCTGCCGGCGGCGCGGGCATGCCGGGTTTCAGCAAGGCCAACGGCGGGGCCTGGAGTAGACATGCGGAGGACCTGCTGGGGATGGCGAGGCCGACGGGGAGACGGTGATGATGATGGAGATGGGGGTTGTTGCTATATAGCTTAATGTGGCTTGGCTATCACGAAGAATGAGCTTATGATGCATCGGGTGGGGGTTTAAGCATGGAGGTCTAGCATAGAGCGCGCAATTCGATCGTCTTTCTTTCACATTTGCGCTGATACTTGCGTTGTTCCTCTTCGTTACGAGAAGGGGCGCGGGAACTCTCAAGCTGGGTTCGCACCCCGCACAGTATCGGGTCCAGACTCACTCAGCGAACCCGAGAAACACGAGAGTTGCCCTCTGGCCGAGTGGGGGCTTCTGGTCCTGCAAAGGCTGACACCTCGGCCCCGCGAAGAGCGTGCAATGATTATGCCGTCTCTTGCTCGGACGTGTTCTAAAGGCAAGCTCTGCTGTAGGGTATCTTTGACTCGCAACGGGGGCATACATACGAACGACGTTGCGTATGGACCTCGACTGCGGAGATGCCGCCGCATGTTGGGTTACTGGGAAGATAGTACAAAGCTCACTTACATGACGAGTCTGACTGGGAAAATTAAGAGCGGGAACTGGACTGCAAGAGCACATTGCGGGATCGTGCTTTCGGCCCTCGCTCAACCATCTCACTCACGATGAAGAGTCTCAAGGCCCACAATGGCCGCTAACCGATGAAACCACTGACACGACACGCTTGCGTCTCTGGGCAAGACGGGCAGAGTCTTGTCCTTGGGTTGTCTATCTGGACTCGTAGAGTCCGTAACCGCTCAGCCGAATTGGGCTTCGCCGAAGGTCCGTGACCGCGGTGACATCTCGCACCTTCGGCGATGATGCAACTTGACGAGGCGCTGGCCAACAGCGCTAACGCCGTGTGCACGACCAGAATTCTTATAAATACTGGGCGTCCCTCGCTCGAGACGGACTCTCCAACGTGCACACGCAGCTCTTGAATGCCTGCCGGTGCGAGGCATCTGAGCCAAGCCAGGCAAGCCAGGACCGGCTCACTGCCGTGATGGTGTGGGCCACGCGACACAGGCGGTCCGCGATTGCTGGTCGGCTGAGCTGACAAGCTTTCCGCCCACCCCTGCTGGGAAGCCACCGACCGATCAAAAAGTCCCAGATGATGCGATGGGATGGGATGGGATGCGATGAAGGGAAGAAAAAGTCGACAGGCTGTGGCATGTCAGGTACCTGGCCGGCGCGGGAGTCTGGGGTAATGCGGGAGGTCACTCGCAGGGCCTGCAACGGGGCGGGGCGGCGTGGGCAGTGGAGAGTTTCAGAGGGCATGGGCCGCGATTGAGTCACCCTCGCAGATGCGCCTTCCTCGTCTTCCTCGCGCGTGCCCCATGCGCGAGCCCCATTGGCCAATCAGCGGGCGCGCTCCTCGCCGAAGGCCCATGGCGGGTGGTGCAGCGGGCGGGGCGCATCGGCCAATGGCGGGCCCGCAAATGGCGACCCCTGGCCTCGGCGACGCGCCTGACTGGCTGAGGCTCGCAGACCGCGCGCCGCGCGCTAGTCCTCTTCGAGCACGCCGAAAGAGTCAGCCTCCACCACTTCGGCGCTGCGCCATGCCGGAGGGACGGGCCTCGTCTGACCCTCAAGTGAAATACCGTCCATGACTCCCTCCCGAGCGCCGCCTGAGGCTTCCGTCTTTCCCTCCTTCTCCCAAACCTCTTCTCCCGGATCACGAAGCTCGTTGCTCTCTGATAGACAGCACGTCTTTTCGCGTTGTCGACTCGTGTTGCTTGCCTCCGGACTTGAGGCCCTGTCACATCCTCAAGCTTCGGCTTTTTTCCACTCTTTCTCCCACCCCCTCCTCCATCCTGTCAGCAACCACCCACTCCTCAAGCGCCGCGCGGGACAAACACATACGCCGGCCGCTTCAGCTCTTCCGTAACGGCAGTTCAATTCAAATCACATTGTTCCTCTGCACCTAATCGAGGGTCTCCCGTCTCCCTCTGTAAGTCTCGGACAATCCACGAGAGAAGCCGGGTGACTTACAGTGAATGGCCTGTAGCCTGTGACCCCGCCTCACCGTGACACCACGCCAGTCTCTCGCTGAGACTTCCGTCAACCACCAACAAACACCCTGGATACCCGAACTTTCTCTCAGCATCCTCACACTTCATCTCCAATGGCGGCCTCCAGCTCCCAATCCACCCTCCCTCAGGGATTCTCCGTCTTCCAGCCGTCTCTCGGCGCCCAGCTGCAATTCTTCCCCGCTCTCGGGTCTCAGCAGCTCGATGACATGATCAGTGCCTTCATCCCCGGCCCTGCTTCCATCAAGGACAAGCGCGCCACCATCACCGTCGACTTCCTCGAGTACTCGCACATGACTGGCCAGAACTTCAAGTTTTATCCCGTCATGGCTACGTCTCCCTCCGCTGAGTCGCCTGCCGCAGTCAGCCCCTCGCTCGACTCCGCCAGCTCGTCCTTCAACGTCTCTCCCGTCACTTCCAGCTGGGACTGGAGCGCGGCTGCTTCCACAACCTCACACTCGTCCACACAGCGCCGGCGGCAATCGTCCAAGGCCAGCCCCCCCTCGAGACATCAGACTGCCACCGACTTCTCCAGCCTGCCTGGCATGAAGATCCTCACCAAGGACGGTCGCGATGTGACCAACTCGGCCTCGCGCGGCTCCAAGACCAAGGAGCAGCGGGACCACGCCCACCTCATGCGCATCATCAAGGCCTGCGACAGCTGCCGCCGCAAGAAGATTCGCTGCGACCCCAGCCACAAGAAGCGAGGAGCTGCCCAGCCGCAAGCAGTCGCTGCAGCCATCGCGAAGCCGGCCAAGAAGCAAAGGACGGCAACCCAAGAAGCTCCTCCGCTTACCGCTCCACAAATACAAGTCGGCGATATCACCGAGCCTTCTGCCATGCTTCTGGACGAGCTTTCGTTCCCGTCCTTTGACCTCGACTCGTCGCTTGACTTTACCGCGCTCGAGTCGCTGGATGCCTCTGCGGCCTGGGATGAGTTTGTGCAGTTCCCTCCGATGGAGACTGTGCCCGATTACGACTTCTTCCTCGACCCGGAGAATTACTTCTCTCAGTCCTCCTCTGCGTCCTCGTCGGCGTCTCCCGGCAAGGTGCTCACGCCGCCGCAATCGCAGGAAGTTAATACGACGCCTGGTAGTGATGTGAATTACTCCGAACCTGGCGCGCCACCTGGTGGCGACCTCGGCCTGTATGGTCCGAATGCACCTCCTGGCGGCGATGTCGATGGCTACGATTCTCAGCAGTCGAGGTCTCCTCAATACCCCTTCCTCGACCAGCCTGGTTCTGCGGGCAGCGATTACACCGACTTCAACCTGTACTCGCCCGAGTCTACCTTCTCTGAGGACGAGCGCATGCTGCCGATTGGCAACTCGTCGTCAAGTCTGTCCAACCTCAACGAACCACAGATGTCTGAGTGCCCACCGCCTATTGGCGTCGCCAGCGGCGATGACGTGGGCGATTGGGAAGCCATTGCCCGCCAATTCAACGCCACTGGCGACAATATCGGCGGTATGCCCTACTATGATCCGGGTCTGAGTGTGGACAGGGACGAGAATGTCCATGCCACCTCTGCTCAGGTCAACGCCAACCGCTCTGACTCTGTCGGCGGCCGCGTGCTAATCTGCTGCCCGCCTGGCACGGTCGTCATGGCCGAGGATGGCTCGGATACCCGCATCCTGGATCACGTACGTCAAAGCCCCTCCGCTCATTTGACCGAATATCAGCGACTGACTTCTCGGAAGGTATCAACTAGTCTCAATGTCTCTGGCTTGACCTCGACTAGCCCCGAGCTGGCTGCAAGTGTACGTATATCCGGGCTCTTCAAATGCCGCGTACGGCGACTAATTTGGAAAAAGGAATCACCAGCACTTGTTCAGTCCGTCGCGGGCGCGGCAGTCTCCGCTTCTGGCGAGCGCGGCAGTGTACGTATTTCTGCATCCTGCTCTGCAACCGAGCGGCGACTAACTTGGAAAAAGGAATCGCCAGCACTCTCTCAATACGCCGCGAGCGCGGCACTCGTTGCCTCTGACAGGCGTCGCAGTGTATGTCCCCCCGCATCCATGCCCATTACCGCGCAGCGACTGACTTGCAAAAAGGAACACCCAGCTGCGATTTCCGCTCAAGATCATGTGGCTGCACCAGCCTCAGGTGCTGACCGGGAGGATCAGTTCCCTCTAATCGTACGTCCTCACGCACATGATATGCCGCTTCACTGTCTAACTCTTGCAAAGGATCAACACGTGGACGATCCTCTACAGCGACCACGCCTGCGCCCCAGCGGCGATGTCGTGGACGGACAGCCTCTTTTCGCCGATGGCGACCCTGTCCTCGCCGTGCACAACGGCTTAACCGGCCTGGCACCGGCAACCGCGTCGTCGGTTCATCCTGGCCAGGGCCTGGATGTTACGTCGCGCGACTCACCTGTCAGCCTCCACGCTGTAGATGTCTCTGCAGCGGAATCTCCCGGGGATGTCTCCTCTGGCGAGCAAGACGGCGTGGCCAGGGCACCTCAGGTTGCTCTGCGCGATCCTGGACGCCACCTGGCATACCGTGTCAATGATGCGTACAGCCGCGGTCCCGATGGGACTCACGGCGCCAGCCTGCTGTACGGTCAGGCCGTCGCATCGACCAATGTGTCGCCTGCCATGGTCACGGCTTCTCAGTCAAGGCGTGACTCGATGGATGTTGCCACCAACGAGTCTCGCGTGGCCTTGCCACAGACCTCAGCCGTCGGCCGTGTGTCGGCGAGTGCTCCTGTCGTGGCCGTCGGCGACTCTCAAACCGCTGCGACCACCGGCGCGAGCCCGCCCACATCGGGCAACATGGCTGTCGCGGCCGCCGCCGTGTCTGCCTTTGTGCAGTACATGAGCAGCGTAATGGCCGCTCAGCAATCTTTGATCGCTGGCGATTCGTCCAAGCAATCATCCGCTGCGCGCGGCGTCGTGTCTCGGCCGAAGATTTCGGACCGTACCCGCGCCGTCGTTCGAAGCCAGGCAATGCGACTCGCGCCAATGGGCGCTGCCGTGAGCGTCGCTGCCATGGGATAGTTACCGTGGTGCTGGAGGTGCTGCGGGGATGGGGGTGCGTGTGTGGTGTGTCGGTTGTGGCGAGCGTTGTTCACGATACCCTTTTGCTTGATGGCGCCCGCGCTTGCGGGTAGTGTACGATTGGGCTGCATACACGATGGAAACATAGACACAGCCTCTATAGAAACACTGGCCTGCGCCTGTAAAATTTTACTACTATTATTACAACTACGCCGTCGCCTGTCGTGATCCTGACTTCACAGTGTCCCATGTGGTGATGGTGGTTGGTGAGAGTGTGTGCCATGGGGAGTGCGATGAGTGTTGAGTGAGTGGGCCCGCGCTAGTCATGTGATGGCTTTGCAGCAACGCTCACTGAGATTGAGTCCAACATCAAAGTTTGCTCACTTGTTGAATTGAAGACTGGCCATCGCGCCGCACCGATTTTCTCCAATTGCGCAGCAGGGTCACTCTGGCAGACGTGATTCTTGCCCCTCGAAACCCATCCAGCGCCAATTGTTGCCGCCTCGCTTTGGAAACGAACGAAGAATGAGAGTCGCTGTGCTCACACTTGCTTCTCAGAGTGTTGCTGCATCAACGACCGAGTGAGCTAACGCAATCGGCAGCACGGAGCGCACACAACAGCGGCAGATAGATTGGGCGAACTGTTCTCCACGGACTGTTTGTTGGCTGGCTGGCTGGGTTGTCTGGGCCGTCGGGGCACACAAGGCGCGCACGGGTCCGACGACGACGCTTGTGCTCGTGGTGACGTGCAGCGAGACGTGCAGCGAGCAACAACATCAAGCACCTGCAGCAGAGCCGGCTCACGTGAGGCTCGAGTCAAAGCCGCGACGACGGACGCCAACTGCCAACTACGCAAGTTGTTGCGAGCGTCGGAAAAGACTATCCAGGCAGCAGTCAAGTTCGGACTGAAGGAGAGACTCTCTGCAGTGCTCCAACGAGCTCCCCCTGATACGGGCAGCACGCTGAGCATATAAGGCGGTGTGCCTCGCTCGACAAAGCCGACGCGGGAAAGAGACGCGACGCTGCAACGGCAACGAGGGCAAACGAACGGGCCGGCAAACGAGCAGCGCAGTCTGGGACGCTGGGCGGCATCCAGCGGTGGCTCGCGGGCACCCGAGCAACGGCTCGACCGAGGCGGCGGCTGCTGTCCGTCTGTTCAGGCAGAACCTACACAGGGGAGGAGGGCCTGTGGACGCCCCGAACAGCAACGTTCAGGGCAGCCACCGACGGTCAGTTCTGGTGAGGGCAGGCACCGCATAGGCACCTCGTCAGGCACCTCATCACCTAGCCATGGCCCGAATCGGCGACCAGCTGGCGGCTGCTGGCCGGGCCGCCCGTCGCCTGTTCTGCCTGCACACGGCAGGTGGCGACAGGGACGAGGCCACAGGCGACAGCCATAAACAGGAATCCGACGTCGTCGCGCACGCAAACGCAAACTCTTCCCAAACAACCACCACATCTCCGCCTTCGTCCGCACCAGCAGGCCGCACGACGATCACCACAACCGCCGCGGCCGCAGCACATAGCGACCTCAAAGAGCATCAACCAGATCAAAGCACTGCGATCTCCAGTCAAGGAAACGACAAGATGGCCGACTACCTCGACGACGAGCACGACAAGGAGAATGCCGCCCCCGGCGCCACTTCTTCTGCCCAAAACTCCCGCGGTGTTGCGGGCATCACCCCCATCCTGGGGGAGCTGACCCTCGGCAAGCAAGGCGAGGAGAAGCCTGCGTCCGTGACCAAGGTCATCCGTCCGCTCGACAACGACCCCGAGGCCATTCGCGCTCGCGAGCAGAACCAGTTCTTCATCGGCGAGGCCCTCGAAATGGTATGTCTTTGCCCGCCTGCTCTCCCCATCAGCATTTGCCGTCTGACACTGATCGTTGTAGGCTCGACTCGCTCTGCGCACCAACGAGACGCCCGTCGGGTGCGTGCTTGTCCACGAGGGCAAGATCATCGCCAAGGGCATGAACGCCACCAACGTGACGCGCAACGGCACGCGTCATGCCGAACTCATGGCCCTCTCGTCGCTGCTCTCCGTGCCGAACCCGACGGGCCCCAAGACGACGTCCCTGAAGCCGTTCATCCCGCCCGAGGTGAAGCAGGCCACCAAAGAGGCCAAGGCAAAGGCTGAGGCAGAGGCCAAGGCGAAGGCCGAGGCAGAGGCCGAGGCCAAACTCAATGTTGAATCGAAGAAGCCTGTCGAAATCAGCAATGGCCACACCGAGAACAATGCTGAAAAGGATGCCGACAATGCAGACGTTTCTGCGGTCCAGGAGGACGGCGCCGAAGACGAACAGGCTGCCACCTCGTCGTCGTCGACCAGCCGCCCACCCGACGAGGGCAACGAGGACGGTAGCAAGGGCCACCTGTATCCGTACGGCCAGCGCTTCGTCGGTTTCGAGCGTGTCGATCCCAAGATCATCAGCGAGTGCATTCTCTACGTTACCGTGGAGCCCTGCGTCATGTGCGCGTCGCTGCTTCGCCAGTTCGGCATCAAAAAGGTATACTTTGGCGCCGTCAACGACAAGTTCGGTGGCACAGGTGGCGTCTTCAGCATCCATGCCAACTCACTGCCGGTCAGCGAGGACGGACAGACCGCCTCGGCTCACCCCCTGCCGCGCGAGCCTCACTCCCAGCTGCCCGATAGCAGCGACACGCTGGGCATGTCGTACCCGCCCGGCGGCGGCGATGGCGGCAACGTCGAGCCAGGATTCGAGATTGAGGGCGGCTGGGGCCGCGACGAGGCCGTCGCTCTGCTTCGTCGTTTCTACGTCCAGGAGAATGGGCGAGGTGAGTCCCGCCATGGCCCAAACCTGGTCGACGCACCAGCGCTAACCCTCGCAGCCCCCGTGCCACGAAAGAAGGAGGGACGCGCTGCCCGTCTGGCTGCTATGATGGAGAAGGACGGAAACGTCCCTGACTCTATCCTGGACGACGGTGCCGCCGAGTATCCAGATGGCGACGCGGTTGGCTACGAGTCCCTGGGCGACTCCAACAAGGAGAACGAGAACCGCCTCGACGATGACATATACGAGGATGACCGCGACTACGTTGAGATGGTGGAGGGCGAGATGGCGCGCCGCGGCACGGGCATAGGCATGTGAGCCTTGTTTCCGAACCCGTTGAAACAACATTGCTGTAGGATGGAATTGGCATCGTGTTGCATGTGGCTTTGCTTGGGACTGGAGATACCCGATATGTACAACACTAGGCAAGAACCGGCCTGGAGTGGAGGGCTTCGTGTAATAGACACCAAATACTTGTGAGCTGTGCAGTGTTCAGGGGCCACGGCCCAGCGACTGCGCGTACGTGTAGATGATGCTCTTGTGAATCTCGCCTAGAGCATGCTAATGTATGTCGTTCTCAGCTCGGCGACGAACCGCGCTGCCCTTGACCCGTTCAAGAGCCTAGCGCGGCCTCCCGCCGCCCCCTTGCGCAAGCGCGCGCGGCTGCCTCGACAAATAAGCGGCTAGAGCTGCTGGCCAAAGGCACTGCTGCGCCGCCTGCGCATCCACGGGAGGGCCGTACGGCGTAATTGTGGGAGCCCGCGGCTGCGGGAAGCCCACGCCGGGCTTACTACGACGCTGGCAACCTGGGGACTGTGCCCACGGTAATAAGAAAGAACCTGTAGTAAACTTGGCCAGTCGCAGGCCGTCAGCTGCAAGTGCTAATCAAAGTAATTGAGACGCAGATCCGTCCCGGGTGAGCGGGACGTGCCGGTAGTCGGTTGGCCGCCCCCCCCCTGCATCTGATGCCTTGGGCTTGGCCCTGGGGATGGGAGACTTGTGGCAGCCAACTCCGGCAGGTGCGGTGCGTGTGCGTTTACCCTGGTTTGGAGAAATGAGCGGAAAGTGCCTAGTAGAAACTGCTCGACTTGTGCTTGGTGCTATTCGGCTGCGATGAATCTCTCAGCACTCATGAGTTTCTCGTTTTGGGAGGCATTAGTGTGGGTGTATAGGTTTGTTGGTGGAAAACTGCCGCGCATGCTATTGACATAAACTCTGTGTTGAAAGGGGAAAATACATGTACGTGGTTTGCACGGAGTAGTCGCAGGTTATGGCCTAAAGCGGCCGGCATCTGGGGTAGCAGAACACCGCTTAGCGGGCATTTGGAATCTTCAACACGGGCCTGCATCGAGGGTCCCGAAATCAACCTACCGACCTACCTAGGTACGCCAACGCAAACGCAAAATTGCACAGGGGGAAGGGGGACTGTGTCGGCGTCTACAGACAGCAGGGCGTCAACGTGAGCTGTGATGGAAACGAGAGCGAGGGGAAACCGCAAACTCGGGATCATGCAGAGAAGCTCTGATCTCCGCCGTAAAGGCGTACACATAAAAGGCCTGCCGCCTCACCGGGTTTTGTTCTTATTGTTGCTGCAACTCATCACACGAGCCCGACGTTCTTTACTCATCACCACGGTCACTACAAGACAGTCCTTACCATTTTTTATTTCACCACCCTTTCTTCAGGAAACCGTGCGTTTCGATACTTGCCCAAGATGCGCTTCTCGCTCCTCAGCATTGCCATGGCCGCTCTCGGCTCCTTCACCACCGCCACTGCCGCCGCCCCGCTGGATGCTCGGGGCGTGGCCGTGCCCGCCGAGGGCGAGTGGCTCGAGGCCAGCGTCGCCCAGCAGCGCCGCGAGGCCCTCCTCGAGTCCGGCCTGGAGTCTCGTGGCCTCGAGGGTGTAAGTCGCTCCCCGTCCGCGGTGTGGGAAAACACACACACACACACACACACTACCGCACCCGAGTTTTGTCTATCCGAGAGAGGTTCGTTGTGATCTAACGTTTTGGGGCGTGCCGAACACCATCAATAGCCATTCCAAACCGTCGGCACCGGCTGGACGGGACTGCAGTTCCACCACACCAACTTCCAGCTGAACACGTGCTACTTCAGCCCGTTCAACTACGAGCAGCAAGTGAGCTTGTAAGTTTCTGCCGCTACTCGGGGTCGCCCCCCTTTTTTATCACCTGCCCCGGGAGTGAGTGAAAACACTTGCACTCGTATACTGACCAGACGCACAGCTTCCACAACACGAGGTCCTTCGGCCCCGCCAAGGGCTACCAGTGCGCCCTCTACAGGTAAGTTGACAGAAAGGGCATGGTTGTAGCAGGGTTTGTTTTGCTGACGCATTGGGGTGGTGGCAGTGGCTACAACAACTGCGCGGACAACACCAAGATTGTCGACCACCTCGCCTACCCCGGAAAGGACAACTTTGGCGACAAGAACGCACACTGGGGAAGCTACTACTGCTGGAAGGTCTAAGCTGGCCTTTGCCTCCACTTGCCCTTGACGACTAGGCAGGTTGAAGCGCTCAATGATTGGTGACTTTTCACCGGTTGGCCTGCTTCACTTCACATCCATGTACTACTAGTCGGGCCACCGAGCTGGCAGCTCTGGTGCGTGCTTCTTACACTTCTGGCACTTGGCCGCCCCGTTTGAGACCAAGCAGACGGGACTCGCGGGGTTATTACTGTCGTAAATAAACCACCGTTATTTTGGATATACAGTGGGTGAAGCGCAACTCCCATTATGCAAAGAGCTACATGTGCTGTACTTGACATGTCGCTGTCAGCTATGGAACTTGTTTTCCCTGACACTGCTTCCTACGAAACGCAACATGAAGGGGAGAATATGACAACCTCCATCGCTTTACCCTGAATTTTAGCCACGCTATTTTACGCTTGGAGGACATGCTCTGAACTGTCGTCGCTCATCAAAAGGACTTGGCTCTCCGAGGATCCAGTGCTCCTTGGTGCCGCAGGTCCTGCATAATTGACAGAGAGACGCGATGCCAGCGGACCCGGGCTTCGCCTACAATGGTAGTCGCTGAATCGACCTCGGAACCAGAGGAGCTCCGCGCACCCGAGCCTGCAAGTTCGGAATCTTCCTCGTCGAAGATTCCCTCGACAGCGTCTGCGCTTCCTGCGTCGGGACGCACCAAGGGTGGAGGGGGGCTGTATACTCGGAAGTGCAAGTCCAAACTCGGCTGCCCATCGGCCGCCTGGCCCCCGTTACCGCTGACAGTCGTGGAGCCGTAGCCAACCCTCCTCATGACCCCCAGTACTTCTTCGAGATGCCTCTGCACGTCGGAAAACAGCAGCACCAGCGGACGACGTTGTGGCATACCCCGAATCATTGATATGTACTCCTCGAATAAGCCCGGGGCCACCAAGACGTCCATCAAAGGCGTGAGCTCCTCGAGGAGCGTGTCGAGATCCTCGTCCGTGGTGGTCGAAAACGCACTAGGCGGGGGGTCGCGCAGCTGCTAGGTGCGATACGCGCTGCGCAAAGACTCCTTGTCCGGCTCGGGCAGCGAGTCGAAGTGTTCGGGGTTGATCACCCCGTCGACGGTCATGGTGAGGTTGCCCGCGGTTGTGCGGCCGACGCGGACGCTGTAGGGGCGGTCGTCGGGGCGCATTCGCATGAAGCCAAGCTCGGTTGCTCGGCGGAGGTAGTGTTCGAAAGAGGTTTGGAGCCTCTGGGTATAGTCGGCGATGGCCTGGGCGAGAGCGCCGGCGTGGTTGCTGTCGGTCGAAGTGGCCTCGTGAGCAGTCTCGTCTCCATGTTGGTCACAGTCTTCCGTGGGAGGCTCGCTTATGTCCTGCTCCCGCTTAACATCGCCGGACTGCGAGTCGGCGTCGGACATTTGGCCGCGGTCGCGCGATTGCGGGAGGTGATGTCGAGGCTTCGGTGCGCTTCCGGTCTCGTCGTTGGAGGGAAAGTGTACTCGAGATTGGGGATCTAGCAATGCGCAAGACTTGGAAGGCCGGCGTATATTGATACTGAACTAAGAGGTGCGAGCGAATGACAATAATGTGAAGCGTGGGGTGTGTGTCGGTTGACTGCCTTGCTGCCCGTCTTCACTCGTATTTGGCTGCTGGAAGGTTCGACGGCAACTGCAACACAATCGGCTTTTGCATGCTCCTTCTTACCTGGTCCTTCTTCACCACGTCGCGACAGCAAGAAACATAAAAATGGCATCACTAGCATCACTCCAGCTGGGCCGTTGCGATTATATTCCCCGGGATATATACATGGCCGTGGCCTCACCTGCGCCCAACTGCTTCGTCAAGCTCGGTCCGCCGCACACTTGGCGTCAAGCCAGCGCCGCAGCAACGGCCCAGCCACGACGGCAAGCATCGAAACGAGCGAGTCGGCGATGCCCAGGCCCCTCTTGGGAGACAGCCCGACCATGGCCCCAAACAGCAGCGCCGCCTCGTACTCGCTGCATATGACGTACTGGCCCCTGTCGACCGCGGCCGCGATGTACTCGGCGACGTGGTCTGCCGAGTGCAGCTTCTTGGCCAGCTCGGAAGTCGGGGCCTCGGTTCCCTCGAGCCGTTTCGTCAGCGCAGGCTTGTTCTCCTGCTCGTCCACGAAGGAAGGCGAGATGAAGTTGGAGGGGAAGGCGATGTGCACCGAGTACTGCGACGTCGGGCCCGAGTAGCGCATGAGCTCCGTTCGCAGGACGTCGGCCAGCGCCCGGACGGCGCACTTGGCAGCTTTTGTGGACGGTGTCAGCAGATTTCGCTCCTCATACTTGATTCAGGGTGATTGTATATGCTGCGACGTACGCGTGTAGGCGACATAGCCTGGGAATGCCACAAAGGCGGCCGCGCTGCTAACAAAGACAATCTTTCGCTTCCTCGGGCGCTGCGCGCGACCTGGAGATGGGCTGCCAGACTGTTTGTCATCTTCGGTCCATAACTTCAGCATCGCCTGCGCTGGAAACGCGCTCGTGAGGTAGTTGTTGGTCATGCATCGCTGCACGTCGTCGGCGCTGAGGTCGACGAGGAAGCCCAGCTCGTTTGTAGTCCCGCCGGCTACGCAGTACAGGACATCGGGGAGGCGCGGTTGCGACTTGAACGCTTCATGGGTCTGCTCGATGGTGTGAGACACGGAAGGATGGGTCGGGCAGCGATCCTTCTTACCTTGGCAGCGTCGGTCAAGTCGAGCGACTGCACCGTCACCTCCTGCTTTTCGTGTTTGCGCGCCGCGAGCACGGCCGTTCTTGCGTCTTCCAATTGCTGCGGTCGTCGCGCGAAGATGGTTATGTGACAGCCTGGCGTCCCGTGTCAATATCAGCGAGACAAGTGTGATGAATCAGGGAATCGCTAACCTCTCTTTGCTAGGCCGATGGCCAACTCCCTCCCAAGGCCGGTTGAGCCACCAGCGATAAAGACAGTCTACCCGTGTGTTGCACTCAAGTTAGCTGTGGGACACGACTGCGTGGGGAACCAGCGATGACACCGCACCTGGCCCGTAAGGTCCTTCATGGTAACTTTGTGGGTGAGCCGCGACACTCACACAAGGCTTCGGCGCTCGCCCACTGCAGCTCAGCTGCCAAGAGCAATATACTGCAAGTGAAACAGCTGTTGGGAATTGTGCGACTGCGCTCAGCCTCACTCTCTGTGCCGGGTTCCGGGCACCGCGCGTCGACCAACACGAATGACGCCATTCAATGAAACATCAGATGACATGACGGCCGAAGCCCCGGGCCCTGCGATTGCCCCAGAGGCCGTCGTTCTCGGTCCGGGGACCCGCGCCGGGGTCCTTCCCGGCAGTCTTACATGGTGTCGGGACCGGGTTCCGCGTTCCAGAGGCACGTTGCACGCGGTGCAGGCAGCGTACGAACGCATACTTGGCTGTAGTTTTTTTATGTGCATATTATCATATGTCTGTTTAATACACGATGGAATAGAATTGCGCTTGGTCAGCGCGACTGATCACCCACAGCTCTGCCCCCGCGGCCGTTCCGTCTCATCCATCAGAGTCACCTCAATCTGGACCCTCAGTAGTGGCATCCTTCGACCACAAATTTACACTGACACATCAAACAGATCTCTCTAGATCCGTCACAGGGCTTTGAGGACTTCGTCAGCCGCCCGAAGGCCAGACTGCACGGCCCCCTCCATATATCCACTCCAGACCGAAGACGTCTCTGTGCCCGCCCAATGAACCCGATCGACCGGTTTGCGAATCCAGTGGCCCATGCTCGTCCACGTCCCGGGCGTCGGTGCCGCGACAGGGCAACCTGTCGACCATTCCTCCGCCATCATTGTGTGCATCGTCAGCTTGTTGGGATGCGCCGCCTCCTTGCCGTAATTCAGCTCCAACTCCCGCAGGAGGATCTTGCGCCGCTGCTCGTGGTCCATGTCAAGGAACGCCATGGCCTTGGACGCGGCAATGAAAGCGACTAGCATCCCATACCGACTGTCGTGCGGCGACACGTCGTTGATCAGCGCCATGTATCCGTCCGGGCAGATGGCCTCGCCGCGAAGCCCGTTGTTGCGCCAGAACGGCGAGTCGTACATGGCGACGATCTTCCAGTACTGGCCGGTCGGCATGTTCTGCAGAAGTTTCATCTTCTGCGGCGGCAGCGGCGGGGAGAACTCGAGACGGAGTATGTTGGCCTGGGGCACTGCCACGATGACGCGCGCGGCCTGGTATGTGCTCTTCGTGGTCTTCACCAGAACGCAACTCTCGCTTTGCTGATCGATCTGAACAACAGGCTCCTCGAGGTGCACCGCGCTGCCGAGATACTTGGCGAGCGCATTCGCAATCGCCTGTCCGCCGCCGATAACGAGCTCCTTTTGCGCGCCCTCGTCGATGGTGCCCAGCACCGTGAAGCTGACGCCCGACTTGCTATACCAGAGCGCATGGAGAAGGCTGACTTGTGAGGTGCCCAGGCCCCAAAACAGCTCGAAAGCCATGCGCAAAGTATCTCTCGCACCCTTGGTCCAGCAGTTGGCCCGGATCCACTGCTCGATGGTCTGGTTATCGAGCTCGTGAGCACGCGGCGTCTTCCACGGCTCCTCCAGGTCGACCGTCTTGCACAGCTCCTCGAACGAGCGGACCGCCCTAGCGAGAAACAGCAGAGACACGGCTGACAGAGGGGGTAGGCCCGTTGGCGAGTACGACTTGCTTCGGCCACGGTAGGTCAGCACGCTCTTACCCTTGGTGGTGACGTCGAACACAGAGATGTTGAACTCGGCCGCGAGGCGGTGCATATTCGGCTGCTCGACGCCCAGGAACATGGCGCCGTAGTCCTCGTACGAGCCATCGTCAAGGTGCTTGGTCCATGCCCGGCCGCCGACACGGTCGCGCGCTTCTAGCAGAAGCACCGACTTGCCCTTGTCCAACAGCGCCCTCGCGGCGGACAACCCGGCATATCCGGCGCCGATGACAATGCAATCGTATGTCGTCGCTGACATTTCCCAGGTGTGCGAATATGACTCGGATGAGTAAATGGGCAGCTTGGTGACGACCGGCACGATCGGAAGTTGTTGCGTTGTATCTCGAGACAATTTAGGTGAGTAGCCGACGGGGCGGCATAGCGATCTTGTCGAAAGACTGTGGCCGTTGCCTCGCCTCAGAAGCCCTCACGCTGCGCTCAAGGCATATCCTGTCCGTGGCCAAGGCCTCACGGCAGCCATGCATGCTCCCAGCCTGCTTGTCTTATAGTTCGACGACACGTCATGTGCGGGGAACCACCGTTGTGCGATCACGAGTCCCGCGACGCCGGCCAAGCGGACATGGGAAACGAAAAGCCAGCCTCGGCTTGTGCGGCTGTCTCCTGGCCGTTGCTGCTCGATCGGAGACATTGGACGGTGTTGGACGTGAATTCGGGGCGTTGTTGGACGTGCGCCGCGCAAGCCCAGCCCTCGAGGCAAGACACCAGACATTCCAGTTGGCTGCCCGGGCGAAACAGCACGGGCCACGACAAGAAGCTATTTATTTTCGGATGTCCGATGCCGAACATGAAGCAACGATGGCTCTACGCATGTGATTGACCGTTTGCCGTGTTGCGCGCTGAAACACGGGTTTTGGTCATGGCGTGGACGTGCTGTGTTGGCTGTGGCCTTTTGAACATTTGCCCAAGGGAAATGAGAGGTCAATGTCTGCACGGCGCGCGCCAGGTCCGAGGGCCGTCGCAGTTCACTCACACGCTCCAAGTGTAAAAACGCACTGGCAGAACGAGTTTCCGGCCTACGAACCAAATACGTAAAAATGCCAGAACAAATTGTACCAACAGGTTGGCCCAAGTACTCATACTGCTTCATGGAATTGGTTCCCGAGCCCGGGCTCAGGGCGTATGAGCTTATTACGAGCAAACAAGCACTATCATTCCTCCGTAAGATGATAACGAACGTTGTCTGAGAACATACAGGTAGTGGCTGCATCATGAGCTATATAGATTAAAGAGCAGCTTCCGCACTTATAGGGCCTCCATTGTCAGGGGAGCGGTAACGGCCGCATTCTACACGCATCGAGCAGCAGTACGTGCATGCCACTGCGATAGGTCATGGCCCGTGTCCTGTTCGATCCATGGGACATTTACCTCGTCCGAGTGACAGCAGGAGTCCCCATGACCGTCATTAAGAGAGCGCAGTGCTTCTGTCTTCGCAGGCATGCCCACATTGAAGGCTTGCGAGAATAAGGTCAGCACTAACGCGCGCACCCGTCTCCCGTGTATAAGGAGCTCGGTTGTAGTACAGCGCAGTTGATGCATCGCATTACTTAGATCATTATCCACTTCAGGATGAGCGGGTGCACCAGAGGGCCCGCTGGGGATTGCCACGCATCCACGACGCCTGCGACAGCCGCAAACGGTGAAGACGGCATTGACGCACAGTAACGCCCAACCAGCTTCGTTGTCGCTCAGGAAACTTGAAGCATCAGAAATCCAGCTTCAAGAGTGAGCCTCTCTATGCCCGACGGCCAAAATCGTCCGCCCTTGTTAGTTAGCCAACATGCCACAATACGGCCGTTGAGCGAATCGGCCGCGCTATATTTCTTGCCCCTGGTGTCGCCAGAGCACTCGTTAAATTGTCTCCAGGCGCATCAAGAATTAGCGTCCAGGCTTGCAAAGGGAGTATTGACTGGTGCGCTCACAGTAGGATCGCCTAGGGAAACTTCTCTTAATGGCGCCGCTCTTGCTTTGTACGTCCAGACAACGTGACAAACAACGTGGTTCGCTGCAAAGGGTCGATTGGAACGCCCGACTGGCCATGTAAGCCGCGCACGTAGGGGTTGAGATCGGACGTCGGCGTTAACAAGGTTCAAATCGGGGTCCGGGGAGACGGCCCACTGGTGCATCGGTATCCATCGCCCAGCTCACGAGCCTCATCTGTCAAGCTGATCCCGATGCAGCCGCTGTCAAACGAGGGACGGCACACCATTCCGTGCACCCTTGCAGGGCCCGGAAGCCGCATTATGGCAGTATAATATACAGTACAATACCTGATAGCTCGATAGTGATGGGTAGTGTAACCGAATGTCACCTGAACCTGCAATACGTGCAACGTATCAGCACGTTGTCGACCTCGGGGGCCGGAACCCGCCACGGCGAGCGGAACCCGGGTTGAGTCCTGAGCAAGCACGACTAAACTCAAATCAGTTAATGGCATCAAACGCGCCGGATTTGACATTCCTTGGTCACACCCTCCAGCTTTGTTGGCGCCCACGACGCGCTGACCTGCGAGGGAGAGCCAGTCATCACAGAGGGAAGCCCCCTGCTGCAGAACCCTGTTGGCTCGCCGCCTTGACACCATCCCAAGGTTTCGTCATGGTCTGCGGACATTCGCGACTTCGGACTCCGAATCTCACCTGCATGAAGCCATGCAGGCCATGCCGGTCCCGATCTGGAACAGGGCCCAAGGCTGCCGGACTGCCGGGCCGCCAGTGTGTACAACGCTTGATGCCTCGAGGCAGCCTCTGCCACTCGTTTTCTTTACTCAACCCGAGCGCGACATGATTCTTCTCGTGTGTCTTCTCGCATGAGCACGCAGCCGCAGTGTCCTTGATCCTAGTTGAGGCTTCAACATGTCGGGCTCAGTCGACCCCAACCTCTTCGCCAACTGCACGGTCGAAACGTGCCCGCTATCGACTTCTTACTACAACTACCGCATCGACCTAGCTTCAAATGCCACCTTTGTGGGGCTTTTTGCCGCGGCGCTGCTGTGGTTTCTCGCGGCGTGGATCTGGACGCGTCGTGGGTTCTGGTTCTCAGTTGCCATGGAGCTTGGCCTCGCAGCTGAACTAATAGGATACGCTGCACGAATCTTTTCGTGGAAGAATCAGTGGGATCAAAACGCGTTCCTCGCTCAAATTGTCTGCATTACCATCGGACCGGCCTTTCTATCTGCTGGAATCTACCTCTGCCTTGCTCGGATAGTCTCTGTCTATGGCGAGTCCAACTCCAGGATTCCCCCCAAGTGGTACACAAGAACAGTGAGTAATCGTCCAATCTACCTCAGCTTTACCCATGCTAACGTGCGAAATCTTTAGTTCATTCCATGCGACGTCGTATCGCTCTGCCTCCAGGCTGTGGGCGGGATAATTGCCTCCGTTGCCCTACAAAACGGCGACTCTTTGACAACTGGCGACAACATCATGATTGCTGGACTAGCAACGCAAGTTTTCACCTTGCTCGTGTTCATCACACTGTGCGCCGACTTTGCGCTACAGGTTCGCCGCCGGCAGTGTAACGGTCTCAACTCAGTGTATTGACAACTAGCTGAGCGACTGCAACGAGTATCCTAAAGCT